CGAGTTCAACTCAAGCCAAGCAGTTGGAAGGTTGAACTCTGAACACTCGGTAGCCAGACTGTCATTTGTGACCGGCCGCCCAAGAGCCAAAGAAGAAAGACCTTTTTTTTTTTTAACGTATTTTTTGTGTGACTTCACCCTATACTGTATTTTCGGTAATTTGGGTATTATACTTACTACTTACTTATACCTAAAGAATACATCGAGAACTCACGTGAAAAAAGCAGAGTGGAGAGTCAGAAATGATTAACCATGGAGCTACTATGCTTGCCTGCTTAAAGCGTTCTTATAAGCTTTATTATAATCAGGATGAAAAAATGAATCGACTGATGTGTATCCCTACCCTACTCAAGTACTTTAATTTTTTTCGAATTTTCATGTTGCAAAATCATCGAGATTTTCACCCAAAAATCCGCTAACAATTTCGAAATACAGATCAGTCGGCTGAGTTTTTGATTCTAATTCTGAATATGATATTTTTATTACATAGAAGTTGAGTTCTGATCGAGAAAATTGAAAACTACGGGTAGAATTCCCACTTTTTCGCTACTGAGTTAGAAAAAATGAATTTTCTCAACGAAACATAAAAGCGAGTTATACTTTTGAAGCCGACACTTCAGCAAATATAATGGGATGTAAATGATAGTTCCAACTCGTAAGAAAAGAATGGAAATGAAGACTTATATGATTCTTAGATAAATTAAATATATTTGATTTAATAAAGTCGTTTTCTCCTATTTTATTTTACAGACAGTACTACATAAGTGCATCTGCTATTAATTAGCTAATTCTCCATTGCTTCATTCCAAGATATTACGTATTAATTTTTATAAATTATGTTGTGAAAAATAACTATAAAACAGGTGTAGATTTTTTATACTATGGGACTCAAAGGGTTAGGCCTAGAATAAAGTTGTAAAAATTATTCTACAAGGTTGAAAAAATCAAAATTAGCCACCCTGAATTTGACACCAAAGAACTGTAGTTTTTTATAAACCAGAAATCATGGATGTTTGAAATCTTGAATTTCTACGAGTGACAAGTTTCTCTTGAAGATCAATTTCTTTTATTTAAAGAATAATAGAGTAATACAATCAACTGCAAAGAAATTAAATTGAACGTCCAAAGATGCACGAATGAAAGCGCTTTTTGTCAATAGCCTTTCAAAACAAATACAACTCGTATGAGGAATGACTCATTCTGATAGAATGAAACAAACTTTATTTGTTAAACCCATGCCAATCCAAATTGTGCAACTGTCCTTTACGGCCGTGACGTGATGTATTGTCACCAAAGAGCACGTGCTCAAATAGCATTGAAGACGCATACCATTAGAAGTGTAACCTTCAATCTTCAACATAGCACACTTTTTCCGAGCTTTTGGCACGTTCCGATGTAACAAAAACAGACATTTTAGGTATGATTTTTGGTTGTGATTCGCTTCCACTTTTACCAAAAGTGTTCTACGGGTACACTTTAGGGCCAATAGTACATTTAAAGTGTATCGGTAGTACACCACAAGCGTATTACTAGTAAAAAGCGTTGACACTAAACTTGACACAAGCGCACTTTTATTAGTACAGTTCAGTCGCCCTTAGCCATAAGTTTAGACAACTACCGGAGAAAAACCGTTGATTTTTCTGTCATTGCGGAATTGTGGTAAAGATGAGTCCGTGTAGATGGAGTAGAACCCATATAGAGTTAGTAGCTAATATAGTTTTTATCGATCACTTATATTCTAAATAGCCTAATAAACAGGAACAGATTCGGTTCATTTTAACAGTCTGAACCAAGTGAATTAAGTTTCTAATAGATAAATATAACATAACTCCCAAGTGATAAAATATGCTTGATTTCGGCGAAATTGGGATCTGAAGATATACATATCAGAGAGGGATGAACTCAAGTACAGATTTTTGCGTACTCGTACTTGTACTTGCGACTTTTTTATAAAATGTATTTTTTTTATTGAAATTTCTCTTATACTCGAGTATTATTCAAGTACTCGAAAAATGGTGTATTCGGCCATCTCTGGAAATAGTACACTATAAGTATGCTATTTAAGTGTGCTATTTTCATATTGTAACGCGCTTCTCACACGTTTAAAAATTGTGAGAGTAAACTGTGCTTTTGTCACACACAAAGCGTGCCACGAACAGCATGGTAAAAGCGTTCCAAAACAGCATATCTCTCCTGACGGCATGGAACAAATATACTAACGGTACGGTCAAAGTGTACCAGTGGCAGGATTGAAGCGTGCCAGTTAATCTATTACCGTCCCATCGGCACATTTGGTTCATGCCGTCAGCATACTTTTACCGTGCTTTTCCGGGGAGCATCAAAATTGTGTAGTAAAATGAGGCTTAGATTGTTATCTGAAAGAGAAAAACAGAGTTGTTTGGTAAATATGAATTTCTTGTACACTAAAGCCACGTTCGTTCACATATACATTTCTAATTTCATCTCAACTTGGTTTTTCGAATCTAATTTTATTTGTGTGCACAAATTTTTTGAAAATCAACCAAAAAACCAAACTGAGTTGAGATAAGGTGTGCATGTGAATTCAGTTTAAGATCTAAACTAATTATTTTATGAATCGATTCTGTCATTCTATTAACACATGTGTGAGTCATTTATTTCAATTTTTCTTTCTGTGACACATTATTTTGCCACGTTGCTGTTTTAAGCATAGTATTTCAATCGCGTGTTTTTTTATATACCTTCATAATTTTAAACCATCATACGTTTGCAAGACGAGGTATTCTTCAATACATTAATCTAATCTTTTGAGATCATATAAACAAATCCTTCTTTACTTTTTGTTTTTGCTAATTAGTGTATTTCTATATAACTGATGTTCTAAGTGACTCTCGTAACGTGATTTGTAGTAGTTTTCACATTTCTATCATTAGATGCTGGTTGGTGAAATCATACGAACTTTAGTAAGGAATAAATCAGTTTTATGCCTTTTTCATTCGTTGTATAGTAGACATTTGTCTGTACTGTTTCATGGCTCGGGAAACAATCGTTCGTTTTTGTGTATAATTATTAATAGAAAGCAGAGTATAATAAATCCTTTTTATGAAATAATTATTTTTTGATAGTTTACCCTTTTTTAGTGCTGTTTTTTCCTACATATTAGTTTTATAAAATATTGTTTTGTTATTTATTTAATTGTTATGCTGTTTTTGTTCGTACATCTGTCTCTATAGTAAATAGTTTAAATATAAACTATTACTAGTTTTACACATAGTTAAAATTGTAGAGCTTTTTCTTCTAGTTTTTAAGTACTTTCATAGTTTAACAAACACACATCGTTATTACCTGGCACTGTTCTATTTTTAGATTACAAGTTGAACTTTCACATTGTAAACTATTTGATCGAAAAAAGCAAGTCATGGGTTTAACTATTTCATCCGTATTCCAGCGTTTATTTGGAAAAAAACAAATGAGAATTTTAATGGTCGGGCTTGATGCTGCTGGTACGTGAATTGACCTTATGGTTATAAATAAAATATAAGAATTAAATTTTTCGTTTTTCTTTTTATAGGTAAAACGACAATTTTATATAAATTAAAGTTAGGAGAAATAGTTACAACAATTCCAACCATTGGTATGTTTGTGTCTCTGACTTTTATTTATAGATAAATGTAAAAAAATTGTTTTCTCTTTTGTAGGTTTTAATGTTGAAACAGTCGAATATAAAAATATTAGTTTTACCGTATGGGATGTTGGCGGACAAGTATGTAAAACTTTAATCTATACGATAGTAATGTGAGTTGCTGCGAGTTAACCAAAAGTGTTCTTGCGAAAATTATAGTTCAATTGACAGTGAAGAGTACGTATTCTGGGTAGACATGTCCATCTTTTCCTGTGAACATTTCTCACGGTACTCGTTACATCCACCAAAAGTTCCACAATATTAAAATATTATTTTAAAATAGTATTGTATTTTTTAGGACAAAATTCGACCATTATGGAGACATTATTTTCAAAACACACAAGGTAATACGATTATATCAAAGTGATTCCTAACTACAGTTTTATTCGTCAGGAGTAGAAATTCTTTTTCGACAGTGACTTCTGTTTTAATAATCAATTTACTCAGATTTAGCTGTCATCATTTTTCTAAAACTTCTTATGATCTCTTCTACTGACATTTTTGTTCTATTCGTCCTTTATTTAGGCCTGATATTTGTTGTTGATAGTAACGATCGTGAACGAGTTGGTGAAGCACGTGATGAACTTCAACGTATGATAGCTGAAGATGAATTAAGAGAAGCCGTTTTATTAATATTTGCAAACAAACAAGTATGTAGTAGTCAAAGAACTTACACTAATGCAATTATTATGTGTCAAAAGTTTTTATATTTTATAATATTGAATGATGTTTATTTCATTTAGGATTTACCAAATGCAATGAATGCAGCTGAAATAACTGATAAACTTGGTTTACATTCTTTACGTAATCGTAACTGGTATATACAAGCGACTTGTGCAACAAGTGGTGATGGACTATATGAAGGTTTAGAATGGCTTTCAAATCAATTGAAAAATGTCAAATAAATGAATCAGTGTATAGGACTCAAATAATATATATAAGCATGAACAGCATGTTGATATAAAAATAGAATGGTTCGTTTGTCGTTTCAAGAACTGGTTCTCTCTCCCTCTATCTCTCCCATACACATACGTGCATACATCCGTTTTCTTTATAAATATTCTAAAATTTTCTCTCCTTACATTTTTCGAAAATCAACAAAATGGCTATGAGATGGTTATAAATTAAAAATTAAATGATTATCATTATCCTATAGAAGAAGCCATTTTCATCAATAAAGTTCTGTTTATTTATGAGTTTTCCTTTATGTATAATCGTGCACAAAAAGTATAACCGCAGAGAGTGTGAGAAGAGAAATTTCCGTTGTTTTCTTGGTTTCTTTTTCTTTGGTCTTTATCGTTTTTCTTTATTGTTAAATTTCGTGCTTTTATGAATATAAACAAGAGAATATTATATGGGACTATGTTTCTTTTGGAATCTCTTTGTGTGATACCAATGCATTTGTGTGTGTGCACTGGAAAACGTAGATTCAAATAAACTTGTCTGTGTTTAAAAAATCATTAAATAAATCGAATATTGGAATAAATGTGACAGGTGCTGGTATCGGTAGGTAAAGGACTCTTTTTGATTAATTGAACAGATTGTGACTTTTTCTCCTGCGCTGTTCAGCGATCCCAATCAGGAAGTGCCAGTCCCTGGAATTTCTAACTTTCCGTAAAACTTTTATCTTAACTTTTTTGAAAAATATAGCACCGGCATAAAAAACTACTTTTATGTCAACTTTTACGTGTTAATCTTCCGTGTAGACGTGCAAATACGAGTATGGTCTCTTTTATGTTACTTGGAAGTCTGTTTTTCTTCTATAAGTATTTCACGTCTGACTGCTTTACTTTATTGAAACGAAAAGTGAAGCAACCTCAGATAAAATCATTCTATTTTCTCTCCATCGCTTTTCGCAAGATATTTTTATAAGCTTTCTGACACAATTATAGTCCCTCCTGGCCAAAAATCAGTCGGAATGCCTGGCGCTGTCAATATATATTATTTCTATTGTTAACCAGACTTTGATATGTACGATAAAATCATGAACTGTATGTGACATTTTTTTGAAATTCAATTAGTTTTTGAACTAGTTAACTTGATCTTTTGCGCAACTTACTCCTGTATTAAAATAGGCATCCTTTGCCATTTTTCTAGATACAACCAAAATATTTTCTTTTTTCTACCAATGGGTGATAAAAAACAGTTTGATGTATGCGTTATTGGCAGTTGTAACGTTGATCTAATAAGGTAAATTTAAATTTTTACAGCCGACTAAAAATCTATGGTCTATGTCGTATTCAACAAGAAAACATTTTTTATCGCGGAATGCACGCGAGCAATTGTTTCGGTTTACTTTAGCAATCTTGCTTGCTTATTTTCTATTTTAATTTTCGAATGGGTAGCTTAACTTGATTCTAATAGTTAATGAGCCTTGCTTTATCTTTTGGATATAATACATTTAAAATCATGTTGTTTTATGAACAAAGCGTCTTTTTTGCTCTAAAATCATTCAGTTTTTTGGTACCATCAAGAATAATTCACAATCAGTGATCGACTTTTCTTATATAGTTATGTGGATCGAACTCCAAAAATTGGTGAAACCATTGAGGGCAATAAATTTGAAAAAGGTAAGTCATAACATTTCTTCTGTTTGTTTGGATCAAGTGAAGCTTGTGTTTTCATCAAACTACGATAAGGTTTTGGTGGAAAAGGTGCAAACCAGTGTGTGGCATCTGCAAAACTAGGAGGTAATGTGGCAATGATTGGAAAGGTAAGTATGTACACACAGAATAGCTTGATTTTAAGTTCTACTAAGAAGTTTTTTTCGTTGAAATTAGGTTGGTAATGATGTATTTGGTCAAGAATATGTTTCAAATTTAAAGGAATTAGGCATTAACACAGGTAATAGAGATCAAAGTGGATAAGTAAATTGATTCTCACATGAATCGTACATCAATTGATATTTTTTTAAATATCTTAGATCATGTTTATGTTACGCCAGACGCTGCTACTGGAGTTGCACCAATTATAGTTGATAAAGAAGGTGAGATACAGATAGAACCGTTCTAACGTTGCTTTTTCTGCAAATCGTTATGTTTTAATTGACATGGTATCCATTAATAAGGCTAATAATTGTTTTAGAAATTTTATTATTAGCAATAAACAAGACACTATTATATCACGATTCTAATTGATTTTTGATTTTAGGTAGAAATAGTATTATTGTTATTCTCGGTGCGAATCTACTATTATCAGGTGAAGATTTGATCAAAGCTGAAAATATTATTCGCCAGTCAAATGTTGTTGTGTGTCAATGTGAAATAAAACAAGAAACCGTGCTCAAAGCACTTGAAATGGCACGAAAGTTTTCGGGTTCATACATAAAGTGATAGATCAAAACTAACAGTTTGATTTTATATCTCGTTTTTTCAGTAACATCTATTTTGAATCCAGCACCGATGCCCACCAATTTCAATCGTGATTTAGTAAAAATGTGTGATATAATTTGTCCAAATCAACATGAGGTTTGATATTTACTTCGTCAGATTATTTGTATTGTTCTTAACCATTGAATTATTTCAGGCTGAAGCAATATGTGGTGTCAAAGTGGAAACTATAGAGGAAGCATACAAAGCATGCAAACTACTGTTGGATGCTGGAAGTAAAATAGCGATAATAACAATGGGCGAACATGGTGCTGTTATTGCAAGTGAAGATCAACCAGAACCGTTTCATGTCGAACCGCCGTCTAATATCAATGTCTATGATACCACGGGAGCAGGAGACGCGTTTGTAGGTACTCTAGCGGTGTTAATGGCTCGTTGTAAAACAATGTCGCTAAAAGAAAAAGTTCGTCGTGCTTGTGCTGTGGCCAGTGTTTCTGTGCAGCGTGCAGGAACTCAGACAAGTTTTCCAAAATACGACGAATTGCCCTTTAAACTATTTGAATGATAATGGTTTTTTTTATGTTAAATATTTTTACAATTTTCGAAATGATTGCTTATTCTTATGTTTAATTTTTTATGGAAATGAATTTTAAATAAAACGGTGCTATTTATTGATTAATTGCCATCAGTTCTAGTTTACTACCAACCTAGGATCATATATTCGACTCTTTATTCTTGCAAAAATGATTTTAATCTTTTTGGTATTTTAAGTTTAGAATACGATAATGAATTTATTTTCGCTTTTTTATTACTTAAGGGCTCCCCCTCCCTCAGAAATTATCTCCGACACCGTACATCCGATCTTGACGAAAGTTTCCATAAATGTTAGGCACAATGAGTTACGGGAATGAAAACATTTTTTTGTCTCTAAGTCTTACGGTTTAGGAGTTTTCCAGAGATCAAGGTCCAAAAAGGACTCCGAAGTGCGTCCCAAGATATTTTAATATACTTCAAGTTGGAGAGTTCGGATGTGTTTTATTTTAAACTAGACCCCTAACTACATGAACTGACCGGCACCGATTTTTCAATTAATCCTTTATTAGTTCCAGGCAACCAACAACCTCCAAAACCCGAAAAAGCCTTTCGGATTTTCTAAAACTCCTCAGTTTGACAAAAACTAAGATCTAATTCAAAAATCGATGCCGGTCAGTCCATGTAGTTTCTTGTCCTCTTTTAAACAAAAAGAGAATGAACTCTCTACGACAAACCGCTATTAAAAATCTTGGGACGCACTTCAGGTGTAACTCTTATATAGAGAAAAAGGTGTATTAAACGCTGTATGAAATACTCGATTTTAGGACTTCTAGGAAAGTGCCGGTAACATTTTGATGCAAAGTCATACAGAGTTGTGCGCGATCTTATTTTGATCAGAAACGTTTGCTCTACAAAGCTGTGCTTTCAGAAAATTTTAATTGTATAAGTATCCAGGAAAAAACTATTATGTGAGATCAGTTTTTTTGACGCTCTTAGAAAACTTGCTCAAAATCCCCGAAAAACCAGTTTTGTAACCAAAAGCAATAAAGATTCTGGAAGTAGACACTTCAGGCTATCTTTCCATGTACGTATCTCAAAACCGATTTTTGACCGAAAATCATTTCTGAGGGGGGGGCCTGGTACCCTATAAACAGTAGTTATCAAAGCTAATGGCGTATGTTTTAGTACTGAAGTTTGAACTTAGATTATACTAATTTTAGAAATTATTTTACTGTTATAAATCAAATTTCTTCGTGCACTAAATGCGGATGAACGATTCATTATTAGTAATTAATAGGCATGCCTTGTTTTATAGACGATCAAATCTGATGCTTCTGATACTGTGGGTTTAAGAAAAAAATGAATCAATTATTCAACTCTTCCCTCTCATCTTCAGATTTCTCAGATAAGGTAATTTGCCAATAAGGTATAGCGTAGTAGGTCTATCTTGAGAGGCATAGTATATATATATATATACTATGCCGGTAAAAAATCAAGGTAAAATCAAAAATAAGGTAAAAATCAATCAGCAGTTAACATTGCAGAAATTGAAGAGGATTAAAGTAAGTTATAGGAATGCTTGAAAGCACTTGTGATTTTATTTTAACCTTGCGCATCTTCTTTTTAACTTTAAAAATCCTTTCCGTCATTTGATTCTATTGCATGATTATAATGCAGGCCAGCTATCATCGATTTGTTTCAACTCAGTAAAATGGTCAGTTCGACGTATATTTCTATCTTTCTTTTAGAGACGTCATTTGAAATAAAAGGACGAAACAAGTGAAAAAGTACTATTTTAACTGCTTGGAATTAATAATAAACGTTAACTACAATTCTTCTATTTACAATGTTCCCATTGACTCTATATCATATCATGTTTCATAAATGCAGAAATACGAATCAAAAAAGAAAAATAATTCGTTCGATTCTAATTATTATCATATATCAGAAAGATAACAATAATAATTTATAATATAAGAATAACAAATAATGATTGAAACTCGAGGATTATATCTAACGGATATCCGACTGGATTCCATCAACATCCAAGATGATAATCTTATATGTTTTCTGCAAAGTAAATCTAATTCTATTTTGCAGTTACAAGGTCGAGCTGATTATCTTAAACGGCGTTGAAAGAAGTTCCCTCCTAATGATATGAGTTATTAATGTGAGTGCCAGTGAGTTCGTTCAATGAACTACCTTATAAATGTGAAGTTTCCATTAGTAAATTCCTCTAGCCAAGGAAGAAATAGAGAAAAAGTGACATCTTTCTTCAAAATTTTAACGAAATCTCCATTCTTAACAATGTGATTTGCGTTTAAATAGCCTTTTAACCCTAATTTATTTAGATTCTATAAAACAAACTCTTAATGGTGCTTTTACAACTAATTAGAATCAGTCTCTTGTCTTGCCTAACGTGTTCTGAAAAAAAAAGACATGCGCTGAAGAAACTCGTTCTATTCGAGTGTTTGTCACCTGATACATCTGCCATTTTTTATTGAAGATCCCAGTTTAAATTCATGCTTATTAGATTCGACGTCCATCGCAGAGAGTGATTGAAAGTCTGAAACATAAGAAATGGAGCTTAAGCTGGGCAAGAAGTTGTAACAGATACAAGCAGACAAACTAGTATTCTTTTCAAGCCTGAATATGATATGGATAGTGCTACATTTTGTAGTTTTAGATAGTTACCAATTTTGAGTGTTTTTTCCTTAATGGAGGGCCCATTATCAAAATGGACGAACGTTATTCAAGGTTGGCAGTATCGATGGTTTGTGTTAAATGCTTCAAAGGGAATGTTGGTGTACTACACAGTAAGTTAATTTGAATTATCGTAGCATATTTCAAAAGAGTCTTGTTTGTTTTATTATGTTTAGTCAAAAGAAAACATGGTTAAGGGTGATAGACGTGGTGTCGTTTTACTAAAAGTAATTTTTATTTTTATTCTTTTACAGCTAACATCATGATTTGTTTTTATCGTTTCAGGGAGCAAATCTAGGAATCAATTCTGAAGATGATAGTACGGTAAGACTTCAACAAACGATTCTCTGAGCATTTGTTTTATTATCTTTTTCTTTCGTTTAGTTCACAATTCGATCTCACGGAAAAACCTTTCATTTTCAAGGTACAACAGAAATTTATAAACAAAGAAAAGTTAGACAAACCTTTTGCCATAAAATCAGCTGTACACTCGGACAGAACAATACTCTATTCAGGAATTTTTCAAGGAGAAAGAGTAGTTAGCTAAAAAGTTTTATGTACTTATCTAAATACTTTTCTTACTGGAGGTTGTCTCCCAGTAGGACTCTTCTAAGATGGTGGTCGCAGCGCTCTCTTCGTTACGTCGCTGTACCATACTTTCATTCCTTTACTTTGATATGCAAAGACGGTTTTATTTATCTGTATTTGTACGTTAATTTTTTTTATAGCACGCGATGCAGAAGAACGACAGAAATGGATAACAGGCTTGGAAGAAGCTATTAGTCTTAATACTGTTTACACGGTAGGATATACATATTATTTCTAATGAAAGCAGCAGCGGCAACACCATCGACCATTTGAGGCATTTTCTCTTAAACAAAAAGTGGGTGGCACATATTTCTTCCATCAATAGTATACTGAGGATTGAGAAATATGAAGTGACACGAATATATTCAAAATTTGGGTGGAGATGGGCGCGGATGAACGAATGAACAATATGCTTGTTGTTTTTTTGTTTAGGATAAATTATCAGTGTCATGTACATCCGTTTTTGAACGTAAAATATCTGAAGCTGATGCATATTTACGGTTATTAATCGAACAAGTTAATGTAAGTGCCAGCAATGAATGTGTCACAGTTTCTCTGTTTTCGTTCTTTTGAGAATGAACTTTTATCAATGTTATAGGATCTTGCACAATCAATGAATCAAGCCCAAGATGAAAAAGAACGAGAATGCTATAAACGTGTTGTTGTGTCTGCTAATGTAAGTGTTATCATTTTCTTCCTTGTTTTCCAATTCATTTGTTTGTTTGCTTTAGAGATTGATTGAAGCCGTCAAGTATTCAATTGTTTCACTACAACTAGCGAAGGTAAGCTACATTTTAGCCCCTCCTTTTATACGTTACTCCTTTTATCACGTCATTTCTGTGATTATTTTAGATTCATATGGATCCTAATAATACTGCTAAAGCGAAAGTTGATTATCAAGCAGTACTTTCTCATATGAACGTTCATAAAGGTAAATCAAAAGTTGTTTTTTGCGTAGATTTGTTCGAAATTGGTCTTGTTTCTAGATGAAATTGTACATAATCGATCATATCCTTCGTTAACTAGTGCAGCTGGAGATGATTCACAAACCAAAGACAAAAGAACGGATAAAACATTTGGCTGTAAATAGAGAAATCAACGGCTTAGATGCATGCCTCTTGACGTGTTTTTGATTTCTTTTTAGCATTGGATTATCGCACTGTGGTTGATAATTTCAGAAAAAGTTTTCCAGTTGTTTCCTATTCAAGCAGTGATGATGATGATTTTTATGATGCCAATGATTCAAATGAGTGAGTTTATATCTTCTATAAAAAGACTTCCACAGCGCATTAACATATAAAGAGAAAAATTAGTTACAATCTCTTACATTAGTTCTAAAAGTGTTAGATAATCATTTTCGGTTTATTTAGCGGATTTAGGGATTTTTGCATAAACTTAATAAGCGGGCTAAATATGCGAAAAACATTTTGATAAGTATAGTTGGCAATAATCTTATTTTACAATTTCAAATGCTAACTTTCAATGAGTAAATCCAGTCATATCTATGGACACATTTTATTTATTTCAGATAATACGAATATCGCTACGATAAAATATAATTTCACGTTCAGAGTACATCAACTTATAATTAGCGTTTCGTTCTTTCGCATAAAACTTGAAAAATTTGAACAGTCCTAATTATACATCGTTCAAAAGCTCACAAAATCTTATTTGTTTTCAATGAGCCAATTATAGCACTAAAACTTCTTTTGTCTCTTTATCTAACAATTTGTTCAGTTATCTTAGCAAATTTTGTACTTTTCAAAACGACAAATGCTGAATATTTTTGCATGAGAGGATAGTTCTGTCTCTAGCGAATAATTTAGTATATAGTTAAAAAAGTAGTCGTTCCATTAAAAAAAAAACAATAAGCAAAGAAGAATCTGTGATAGTATCTTCTTGTATTTTTTTTTCTTCTTGAGTCATCTATCAAAACGTTTGTCTAGCAACCAAAAAAACATGCTTTAGAAAACATAGGAGTCTAAAGAATGCGAAACAATCGACAAACCGACATTAAATATGACTAGAAAAGATTGAGTAGTAATGATAGAAATTTAGCGTGCAATGTCAGAAAATTTACAACCCATATGTTATAGTTAATTTTTTCTTCTTTTAAAAACATAGATTCTTATAATTACAATTATGGTCGAGAAACATCCATGCAACGGTTTATATTTTATTTTCTGCCTTCATCCTTCTATTTCCTCTTATCTCTCATGATCACAGTGTGATTATTCTGCCGTGCTTCGGCAGCCGGTGTTTTTATTTTCCGAATAAAAAGAAATAACTTTAATAATTTTTTAGATTTAGGTAAAAATAATCTATAAAAAGAACAACCTAATAGAAACCGGAATTCAAATTCTAGTTTAGATTTGCGAGTCTATAGGATCAACAGCAAAACTCTCAAATTTTAATGAAAATCAAGAACATAAACGAAAAGACGATATGATGACAAATTAAATGGTTTCTGTTTTTCATCAAAAATTCACTTTATATTTTATTTTTTATGATCTCATATTTACGATTATCACCGTTTCACAGTTGTGTATGTCACATTGTCATTTGACATCATGTAGAACAGACTTTATAACTCGAAAGAAAACTCATAATAATATATAAAAAATTCCGTAATCATGAAGAGGAAAGTAAAAAGAAAATATTTTAATTGATGTTGCTTCTCTATTTTCTATTCTCTCTATCCATAAATGTGTGTAATTTAATAAAAACTGATTTAAGAATAAAAGGAAGAACTCAACAAAATATGACACAGATAATAATAGTAAAATGGTAATAGGACTAGAAGTATTTTTCTTTTTTTATTGATTGCTCAACAATTGTTCATGACAATTTCTTTCTATAAGTATTTAACGGATTTTATTCGTCAGAAATACAAATCCTGTTTAAATATATATTACGTACATAGCATAGGATGCTGACAAAAACTCTTTTGTCGATAAAAAAGAGAAAAATAGTCAAATATTTACAAATTTTCTAAAAATATGTGTGGAATTTTCTAGAATGATCTAATTATGATAGATTTTAGTACATACCTTGTTTGTTCTATGTTTTATTTTATTTAACAAGACAATAGGATCGGACTACTTATTTAACCTTTTCCAACTATTTTTTGCACAGTTTTCCGAAAAAGAAAGATCGTATTTAATTTCAATATAGATGAATGATGCAAATTTTATCGTTAGTTCTAAATAATTTTTATTTAGAAATCGTGTCTTAGACGTTTATTGCTGTTCTTTCTAGACTAGGAAAAAGAAAAAAAGATAAACTGAAAGAAGAATGCTAGCTCTTCTATGATAATAAACATTAAATACATGAAATCATTTTAATTAAAAGAAAAAAAAATGAGAAGGTAAAAAAATTAGTAATCAACAGGAAAAAATAGAAGACACATCTCAAAGCTCACATTCTCTGAAACTAAGTAAAAAAAAAAAAATAAGTTATTATTTCTCAGATTCTGTGCATCTGCTTAGCGGTTCTTTTATGAGATTGCTCAAACATACGCTGTAAAATGTAGAATGACAAATAGAAGATTAAAAGTTGAATGTCTATTTCTCATTCAAACGATAACTATAGTTAAAAATGTCTTACTATTCTTCGTAATTGAAGTAAAGCATAATGCTATCAATTACCGATACACGACTTCATTGACAAGATCAATAGTAGTCGTTATGATTGTTCATTTATGTAAAGAGTTCATTATTTGGATTATGAAAAATGTATAAGGGTACATCGCATAACATCAACCATTAATCATTCTCTTGTATTTTATTTTAGGTATTCTTCCTCCAATTCTTTAAATCTAGAAATTCTACCCCCTTCCGCTCCACCTTCCTCACCAATAATCAAAAGTAGTGATATACAACCATTAACTAAATCGCTTATGCAAATAACAGATGAGAATGCAAATATAAATAATGGAAATGAAATTAATACTACGATGAAAAATGAACATTATGCTACAGTTGATGAACAAAACGAAACCAGTTCACATAAGTAAGAAGAACCTTTTTTGTTATTTATATGTTTTCATTTTCAATCTCTTCTGTTCGTCTTAGTTTATCATTTTCTCCACAACAACCTCGTTCCCCATTACCTTCGTCAACAAGAAACCAAATACCATATGACATCTATGAAGGTATTATTTAATCCCTCACACAAATAACACAAAAAAGAATTGTTTATTTTATTTTTTGTAGCGGGTTATGAGGAAGATGGAGACGTTGACTGTTAGTATCGATAAAACATAACTAGTAAAAGAAATAATTCAGTATATCTGTTACTTTTTAGTGGCACAGATGGATGGAAGTGTTATATCACACTTGATATCACAAGTACGATTAGGAATGGATTTAACAAAAGTCACACTGCCTACATTTATACTTGAACGACGATCATTCTTGGAAATGTTAGCCGATTTTCTAGCTCATCCAGATCAGTTTGTGAGGTTTGTATATCAAAAAATCACATTTTAATTGTATTTATTTAGTATTTTTTATTTACAGTGTCGCTGATTGTACTAGTCCCCGTGATCGTTTTACTCATGTTGTTAAATGGTATTTATCCGCATTTCATGCTGGAAGAAAAAGTCCAGTGCCAAAAAAGCCTTATAATCCAATATTAGGTGAAACGTTTCAATGTTATTATGATGTTGGCTCTTCAACATCGACTAAAAATGTTTGTTATATTCATTCGCTTATGTTTAACCCGTTAGAATATTCTGCCTATTTGTTTAGACGACTAATGTTAGCGACGGACCAGTTCCATGGGCAAACAGAGATAACGTGACGTTTATTGCCGAACAAGTTTCACATCATCCACCAGGTAAATGTTGAATATTCATTGATTCTTTCATGATAGAAAATGAAACAATGAAACAATTCAAACCATTCTCTCTACGAAGTAATAGCCAATAGTCTTACAGCTTTATTATAAATTCAGTAAAAAACATATAGTTTTATGTTTCATATTGCATTTTAGTTGCTGCTTTTTATGCTGAATGTGTCGCAAAACGAATCCAACTTGATGGATGTTTATGGACGAAATCAAAATTTCTTGGCTTGTCGATTGCGGTACATATGATTGGAGATGCGACATTAACTTTATTAGATTTCGATGAAAAATACGTCATGACGTTTCCGAGCGCTTATGGAAGGTGAATTACGAGATCTTCTGCTCATAGTTACATCTATTAGTTTGTTTATTTATTTATTTATTTAGATCAATTCTTGGCGTACCCTGGTTTGAAATGGGTGGAAAAGTACAAATTGATTGTGAAAAGAGTGGGCACAGTGCCACAATTGATTTTCTGACCAAGGTAGCGTTCTTTTTGATACATTAATAAAAGGTTGTAGCTTTAACTTCGATTTTCTTAGCCGTTCTATAATGGCAAAAAACATCAAATAACTGGAGTCATGTACGGACCTGATAAGAAAGAATTTTGTAAAATTGATGGTGAATGGAATGGCGTCATGTATGCTAAATATACAGAGTCAAAAGTACGTTTTTTTGTCTTCTTTACCTAGAAGAAAATTGATAGTAAGTCGTGCTTGTCGATTTCTTATAGATATCCGATGTATTCTTTGACACACACAATACGCCAATTATAAAAAAAATTGTTCGTCCAATTAAAGAACAAGGAGAATATGAAAGTAGACAGTACGTATCCAAATACATTGCATTAAAAAATCAAAAACTTGAAGTACAATACACAAAATTTCTTTATTTGTGAGAAACATATATCAAGTCTTAATTTTCAATAGTCCTATTAAAACATGTTGGTTATCTTGAAGTTTAATTTGCTAATTTAATGAACATTATGTAGATAATCAATCCCTTTGTTTTAGTCTGTGGAAAGATGTTACTTACTGTTTAAAATCAAAACAGCTAGAAAAAGCCACCGATGCTAAATTGATGTTAGAACAACGACAACGTGAAGAAGCGAAAGAACGAGCAGAAAAATCACTGAAATGGCAAACAAAAGTTAGTTTAAGACAAGAAATCTTGATATATGAGCTATATATATCTGTTTTTTAGCATTTTGTGGAGTCTGGTGAACAAAAATGGACATACGACAAGAAATTACTTAAACGGTTGAAAAATTAATTGATCATTTTACACTAATAAACTCTGGAAAATAAATTAAAATAGCTTTATCGTGCTGTTTCTCCGACCAAAAATTGTGTAGAGTAGAGTCGTGAAAACAGGAGTCATTTTTAATTTTGTTAAATTTTTTTTTTCTAATGAAGTCCAATTGTTTGTTTTTTTATTTATATTTTATTTTTTGTCTTCAACAGTGAGTAAAGTCTATCCGTCGAATGAACATTACCTGCATTGAATTTGTAATGTCATAGTTTTTCAAAGATTAATGATATTTTGACTTTTCATTATATGTACTTCTTCTTTTTTTGTATATATTATTATATTTTGTTAATATGAGAGTGATTCATCAAATTAATCCCGCTAGATTATATTCGATTTTTAAAATCTAATTATCTGTAGTCTGTTATCAGCGACGTGCGCTTCTCAGTCAATGCGTTTTAGACAAAGCATTTACCTCTCTCCATCATGTTAGTACAATTTTTTTCGCTTATTCAAATCTGTTAAGTAGTTTACTTCAATCAGTAGCTGGTGCTCATGAGAAATTTAATTATTACTTAAAATTTTTTACTTTATTGAAGAACATTCTCATTCTCAAAAATATTTGCATAACGATGATAAATTCAAAAAAAGTTATATTTTCTAAGTTTTTATGATTGTTTCGACAAGTTAATTTGTTGATCAAAAACAATTCATGATGAAAAATAACTTCTTTTTATTTTATCTGACCATTTTATCCGAGTGATTTTGTTTCCTCTATAATTTTTTTTTTTGTGTTTTTACATGAGAGTATAGAAAATATTCATGGCTTTATTTTCTCTCAACTAGTCAGATTGTTCCGTATTTTCCAGTCACATATTTCTTTATACCTTCTACCCTTCTATTCTTTCATGTGAAAAAAAAACTTCTGAGCTATTTCTTTAAATTTTTTCATTAGTTAATTGTTAATTTTTGTCAATTTTTAATTTTAATTTGTGCTGTATGTATCGTATATTTTTGAAGTCTTATTTTATTGGTGCTAATTCAACATTTGTACTACACATATTTATTTACTAATTGTTCATAATCAATAAAAATATTGTAGTTAATTTAAAGAGACTCTGTTAATATAACAGAGAATGAATAATCAAAGTGAAGATAATGCATTGAGTGTGTGAGAAATTGCCGTACAATATTTTAAACGATGAAAGTTAAATTAGAAATTTGAATATTATTTGTGAGATCATCGATATTGATTGAATTTTAATTTTTAGAAAAGTAAATTTAAATATTAAAATTTTTTTTCTATAAAATGACTTCTACTGTTGCTTCAAAAGTCAAAAACAAGACATTCTCAAATGTTAGTAGTGGACAAATTTCAAGATCACAATTAAAAAATTTAACTCATGGAAGAATTTCAAGAGTTACAGTTGTCGGCTAAAATTCTATGTACGAGCTACAGGATATGAATGGAAAAAACTTTGTAACTGATAAACATAAAAGGACAATATCTGAATTTTATAACTATTTTTCTTGTTAATTATCATTATTAACTTTTTATTCATTATTTTTTTTACATAAATTAGAAATTTTGATCCAGAACGTGATTATGAAAGAATGAAAATGTCTGGGGTATTTAAAACTATAGGTAATAATGAAATGAGCATAAAATAGTTTTTGTAATTTTCATCCATTCATACGCGATATCTTTTATGTTCTTAGGACAAAAAAGAACGACCAGAATGGTTGACTAAATATGAAAGTAAAATTGATAAAGTAATTGAAGCATTAAAAACGACCAACATAGTAAGTTCTATTAGTATTATTCGACGAAATAAATATTTTAACCAAACAAATATTTTAGAAGTTGACGAATGGTATCGAAACAGCATACACTTAACGATATTAAGAAGAATGACATTTATAGAAATATTAGTCTATTTCAGTTTTATTTTTATCGCATCCCGTTTCCTCCAAGGATACATGAATTCCTGTTTTTCTTATTTTTTTCTCTCTCAAACTACCATACAAACGTATATACGTTCTTTTTTTTCTTGGATTCTTTTCAATCATTCACTAATAATTAGAATATTTGTTACCTACTGATGTGATTTGTCTCCTTTTTTTTGTTGTTTTTTTTATGTTAAAAAATTAAATTAAATTTAGTTAATATGATATGGGAGAAAGTATTCAATGAAAATATTCTAATAGTTCTTTTCACTCGTAAAAAAGAAAAGAATGACCTATATATATTTTCTCAAATTAAGCTAATTTTTGGATATGCAAAGATAAATTTTTACTATAATTATAAACCTTCTATTAACTTGATCTAGTCGAAGATTGATTAACAGAAATAGTTATATTTACATACTGTTGAAGATGAAAAAGTTTTGAGATGGGAAAAAAAAGAAATGTGTACAATTGATGCACAGAATATTACCAGAAACACTTATTCTTGTTCTAAATTTTTTTTTTGTACAAAATAATAAATTGTATTTATAAATGCTTTCTAACATCTACAATGGCAAAGCCCTTCATTTTTTTTTTTTTTGTAAGAACTCCTTATAAGCTGCTTATTTAAAAGGAAATATGCACAATTTTGATTTTGTTTCATAGTACGATAAAGAGTTGTCAAAACAACATATGAAATTATGGGTATCAAAAAATAACAATTTTGAATCAAAATCATTTGATTTTTCCATCTCTAAGCGAAATATTTGAGAATGGAATTTGATATTTTCGCTGCTGTTAATAGATGTTTAAATAAAAAAAAAAAAGGAAAAGAAGTAATTCTGTTGGCATCATCAACAGGAATAGTAGAAAAAGAACGATAATACACGAGTATTATTTAATCATACGTGCATTTATTTCGATTTTCATAGCTCTCTGTTAAAATATGTTAAAAAAGTCTTTAATTTAGGTCAATTTTCTTCTTTCTTTTTGTATAATAAAAAAAAAAAAGGAAATTTATTCTTTGTTATTTTGAGTAGAGTAGAAAAAGTAGAAAGGAGTTTAAATGTTTTATAAACAGACACTTTTTCATGATGAACTTATTCAAGGAGGAGAAAAAGAAGAAGAAAAACAAAAACGAAGTCGAGTTTAATTACATAGATGCACAAACGATATATACATTTCTCGTTCTTAATATTGTCTCATTCATCTTCTGCTACTTATCTTAAAAAAACAATCCATTTGTAAACATTTATTAATAGATTTGTACACATAATACAAAATTAATCCTCATCTATTGTCTAGTTTTCTTTTTTGAGTACGCTCACAAAATCAATCATTTACTTAATCAAACAAACGAAAAACAAGAGAGTCAAATAACTTTTTACTGAACAAATCTCATTCATTTTTGTTTTTGAAAAGTTTCATCCATATAGAATAAAAATGGTATGTACAAAATATTTTTCATAGATAAATTTAGATCATCTAGTTCACACTGAAGAATTGTGTAGTAAATCGAACAGTAATATTACTGATGGTAGATAATTTCATTTCCCTTTTCTAGTTGAAGATTGCCAAAAAAAACTAGTAATATACTTAATCATAGGATAAAATTCTTTTATTGTTTAATTTAGACGCAATTTCAATCCGAAAAAATTGAAGAATTTAGACGAGTATTTGATCTTTTTGATAAAGATGGTAGTGGATCAATAGATTCACAAGAGATTGGTCAGTTGATGAGAAGTTTGGGACAAAATCCAACAAATAAGCAAATTGGTAAATGAGTAATAAAATTCACAATTATTGAAATTAACTGATACTTCTTTAATTTTAGAAGATCTCATTTCACAAGCTGATAAAAACGGTAAGTATCATTTTAGGACGTAAAGAGTTAAGCAGTAAATCTCAGTTATTTTCATAATTTAATTAAATATATTTATTATGACTTACCTCTATTTTCCTTGCATATGTTCATAAAAAAAAATTTAAAAACTAAAAGTTTTTCGTTTTGTTCCAGGAAATCAACGACTTGATTTTAATGAATTCGTAGAGTTCATGTCAGCTCATTGGAATGATCGAGATCAAGCTGACGAACTCAAAGAAGCTTTTCGTCTTTTTGATAAGTAAATGAAACAATAAACGGTGTACAATTAACAGTCATAAACAAAAAAAATGCCTATTTGGTTTTTTAGGGATAACTCAGGATATCTTACAATAAATGAATTAAAACAGGTAATTGTTCATTTGTCTTTAATGCATAACACTATTTCAATCATTATTCAAGGTTATGTTAAATATGGGAGAAAAGCTTAGTCAAGAAGAATTAGACGATATGATGAGAGAAGCTGATCTTAATCATGACGGTAAATTAGATTATCATGGTAAATAATTATAGTGTTTAAATATATTCAGTATTTACATCTTTTTAATATGTTTATTTTAGAATTTGTACGAACTTTATTATCAATTAATTAGTAATTCTTTACGTATCTTATAATGTTATACAGCTATATTTGTGCTAACAAACAACAATCAGACGATTTTTTCTTACATATACACAATTTTTTCAATGTGTCATATTTGTTTCGTGCTGCTGAATTCTACTCAAATATGTTAACTGTTTTTTCTCTATAATTTATGTGTGTGTTAAAGCTTCGTTACAGTTCCGAATATGCTATTTTAAAACGATGGACGACAAACGTTTATTTTATTTCGCTAATTTTATCAAATTGTTTAAAAAACATTGCTTAGCCAACAAAAAAGAATAACAAGTTAATCGAACTAAATCAGTCGGATAAATTGGTAGCGTTTCCACTTATAGACGTTTCATCCTCTAAATCGAGATCAATTAAATTTTGAAATAATGATTCGTCCACTTCTACGACTTCACCATCTAAAGTTAACAATACTCATATCACTCTATAGACTAAACTTATATATTTACCAAAAATTTAATATCCGACTCGTATAATGAACGATCTTTTTCGCAGAGTTGACGATCTAGAGTAAAAACGAGATTGTAACACACATATCGATGGATTTAGTGACAAAATCACTGAACTGGAGGAAAGAAGGAATGGTGATTTCTTAGATATAATAGCGCACAGAATCTATTGCATATTATTGAATAGGATTTTTACAGCTCTGCAAATATATATCAGAATAACCAATTTAGAGGTGGAGTATCAGTAAAATTAGCATAAAAGCTATAAAAAAATGAGTTTTAAACGACCTATCGAATAGTATATAATGCATTTTGTAAACTAATCTAAGAAGTTATAGAAAATATTAAATATGTTTATTATTCACGTTCAGATGTCGTCATGAAATTTGCGTACAACTTCATTACACCGGGATCTCAAAATATTTGAATAGTATAGTGTTATAGGGGTCTTATTCCGCGCTATCGATTACTATATAGTATAATATTATGAAACGTTTTACACCCTACGTTTTACACCCTTGAAGAAACCATTATACATTTTGCATGATTTCGAAACGATTTATAACTCTCATCTTTAAAACTCATAGCTCTTCAGTCATGTAAGTTACAGAATTAGAGAATGTCGTGTTTTGCAGCGTAAATGACTTTTTTTGTAAAATTTTTCATTTCAGATCCGAACTATCATCTGATCTTTGTTTGAGTTTAATTTAGTTTAAAAGCTACAGAATATGACGTTCTCTAATTTTGTAAGTTACAGGACTAAGAACTAAGAGTTTTACAATACGTATGGAAATCACGCAAAAGTAGACCATTAAGTAGAATGCCCCTGTTAATTTCTCAGTTAAAGCAAGAATTTTTTGCACTGTGCTGTCAACGCAAAATATGTGTGACTAAATTTGACAAATAAGCAATGGCAATGAAATATTAGCCTTATATTGAGGAAAAAGAAGTCTAAGTTAGATCCTTATGTTGAAATCTCACAAGTTCACAAGTTAGTTCTAAGTACGTAAATTTAATTTAAATTTATTATTACTACTATTATTACAAGCATCTTTTGTTAATTCATTGTATCTCAAATGTTGTTTGGTTACTGATCTACGATATTTTGTAATTGGAGGAGGGGTACTTTTCCGTTCGTTTCCTTGGAAACGGAAAATATTTTCCTGCTGATTTACGTTTTACAAAGGCTCTCATAATATACGTTTAAAAATTTTCTAGGAGAGTAACTATTTATAATCAACAACGTTTAATATCTGACGAGTAACAATAAATTTTATTTTTGTCGAAAAAAGAGTACACTTCTATCCGTTAAATAACGATTTTGTTAGAATGAATTAGTCAGATGAGTTTCTAATTCGATGGTTCTAATTCGATATCATCATTTTAGAATGGGAAATGATGATATCGAATTAGAAAATAAATAATAAGAGTAAGTACTTGAAATTTATTACTTAAAACAATTCGAGACCGAAGAATTCTTCAACTTCTCTTTACATATACATATAATATAAGCACGTACCCATTAGCTTTTTGGTTCACTGTCACAGATTTGGACTTTATTTAATTCAGCCATTTCAACATCAAATTCAGTTATCCAGTTGATAAACAATTCTATAGTCACACACGCACCTTCGAAACGTTTCTAAAACGATAAACAACTGTAAATAATAGTCAACAATAGAGTTTACGGATTGTACGCTCACTCTTTCTGCTTCATGTTTTTCATTTTTGCTTTTCATGCTGTTTAACTCTTATGTAGCGATTTTCAGCTTGAATACTCAATTGTTCTTATAAATGGCTTGATAGAATGATAATCATAGGCATATATAAATTTTTGACACATTAAAAACAAACAGGATTGCAATATCATAGGATCACAAATGTCGGTACTTGAAAAACTAATATACAGTTTTCCTAATGTCATTCACGAAAAATTTTAATTACCAACATTTTCTCAGTCAATAATTATTATTTTTGATAGTTGTTTGAGATATATTTCATCAAATTTGACTTCTAATGAGAATGAGACTAAAAACTCTAGAATTCAATATAATTACAACGGTAAATAATGTCTACTTACATTTGTGTGAATTGCCATTGGTATCATGTGTCAATTTGATGTACAATTTTAACCTCGGATATGGATTTTCATAGATGACTAAAATACAAAAACGTAAAATAAACTGTTTAAGCTAAATAATTTTTTTCACTATACCTTCAATTTTCTCTGGATAAATACAACTGAGAGCTTCAAACTCTTGTAATTGTTCTTCGTATTTACTCGTTATTTCATCTAAAGTCAAGAGAAGAAAATAGATGAACTACGAAGAAAATAAGCACTTATTTTTTATGAACATTTATTTCTAAACTCGTACAAAGTTGGTATTCTACTAGTTCATGCTAGAAAAAAAGTATTGTACAATTGACAGAAAAAAAAGTCTTTTATACAAACAACAGCTTCAGACAAAAGAATATCTGACGCTAATAACAATTATTTTAAAAAAAATAGACAACAGATATTTCATATCGTTTCACTACTATTTGAATTTCATCTATTCATAAAATGTTATCAAACAAGCATACCGTAATATGTAATCAATTATATATGACATATTGTGAAGACATTTAAATAGATATGCTTAGTAGTTTTCTCTTGAATTGCTAATAGATCATGATACATTGATATTACTAAACTATTTGTTGATAATTGTTTTTGATATTTGATTGTTTGTAAACATTTGCCCGTTGGGTGTTCAATCAATTTAATTAGAGCTATTGTTGTATCGTATTCAAACACCACACAAAGTATATCAGCAATCGTATCAAAAGTATAACTACGTATCAACGGTTGATTCTCATTTAATTGATTATATTCATTTTCACGATGTTTTATCGTTCGTCCAAATCGGGTGATTGTTGGTTGAGATGTCTGTTGTAATGTTGTTTCATCATCAATTGTATATAATTTATACACACCATATCCTTGTTCAGTCTCTTTTATTCGCCAAACAATTATATTCCATTCTCGAATATCAATAATATCGTCCTCAATTGTATCAAGAAAACAACACATGTTATCTGACAGTGATCGTTTTAATAAACCATTTGTCGGTATTGTACAATCTTTATCAATTTTATATAAACAATAACAATCATTTACGAATGTTTTATTAACAACGAATAATGTTAAAAAGTGGTATGAATGGCAATACTCAAATTCAGTTCTATCTGAATAATATTGATAAAACATAGTTGGTTTTGAAGTTATTTCAACGTTTAATGGTAAACCATATTTTTCTGAACCGACAATAGACAATGGTGAATCTGTATATGGCCGTCCAATACAACTTGATTTTAGAGTAAATTTATCTAATATTTCATTTAACGAATATAGTTGACATATTTTTCGTTTATATTGAACAATAAGAAATTCGGTTGTCAATGAAACATTTGTTATTTTACCAAGAACAGGATCATTAAATATGTTATTTGTAATGACGAATGCATAACTTAACCACATAGGATAGGTTTTTAGGACATAAAATAGATGACGTTCGGTGTTAGTCACTTGTTTAATAAGACAATGAAATATGAGTAAATGTTTTTCATCACAATGGATAAAAGCGTTATCGCGAAAAGTGAATGTATAGGGTGAACATTTCAAATGAATAATATTATTCGAACGTTTCTCCAAATTCAGTGAATATAGTAGTAATTTGGCATCTTTCGTTACTAAAATGAAACCATCTCGTACTAAATTACTTTTCGATGAGGTTTGGTCAATGTCACAATATTCCACTCGGGCACTCAACTCTAATTTACATCGGCATTGTTCATCTTTTCCAATGAATACTAGGCTGTTAGAAATGTTATTTGTTGATGGGGATGATAAACATCTGTTTTTGTCCGTTATCTTGGTTGAAATAGCATAAAGTTGTAAATATGGGACAGTTGTAATGACATAATTGCCCAAAAAATATGTAGAACCACAAGTTAATCGAGTAGGTGTTGACATTTGTTTTTTATATTGATACTGGCTTGTTTTCAACATACGTCTATAAGATGTTTCATTAATCGTATTTGATGTGCCAAACGTTGAATATTGACGTGTATAGATTGATGAAAAAATAGAATCTTGTTCAATTCGATTTCTTGGTAATTTATTAAATAAAATACACATTTTCTGATACGTTAAAGTAGATTTGATACTTTTACTTTGTACATCGTTGACGTTCGCCTCCAACATGCTTTCAGTCTACAAAAAAACCCCAACATTTTACTTGTTAGAGTTGTCTGTTTGAGAATTGAAATAATAACCAAGAAGTTTCTACACACAAAACTATGATATTAATCAAATAACGACAGAGACAAAAAATATTAAAAACTTGACTAACTTTGAATGAATGGATCTTATAAAAACTGCAGTATTGTAGTATACACTAAAAAAATAACCAGTGTGAAACGAAAGTATTTCTATAGTGGACTTTCCACTTTGCTAAAAGTTCAAGTGTGCAACATAAACACATATAGAAAATGCAAAACTGCCACGAACATGATTATAAATCATAGATTAATTTATTGTGATATTTCGGTAGGTCGCTCCTACCATCATCAGACAATAAGCATCTTTTAGAGTGTCACAAAATTTAGTATATATATATATATACATCGAATAATGTAAAACGAAAGAAAAACACATGGAATAACACAAAAGAAGCTTCTTTTCGGAGCGACCTACCGAAATATCACCATAAATTAATCTATGATTTATAATCATGTTCGTGGCAGTTTTGCGCTTTCTATCTAAACTCTTACAGCATAGACACAGTTTATCTTTTTTCCAACAACCGATAAACGAGACTTATCATTCTCTCGGAGTTATATTTTGTATTACTGTTAGTTTTGTAGATCGAATGCTCTCATTTAATATTGAAATACAGTAGAAACAAAGCGAATTTCATTTTGTTTCTTATGAAAGAAAAAAAGTTGACATCTGTTGAGAAAGAACTAAAAACAACAAAAAATAATGTTAAGAAAAAATTAACGATTGCACATTGTAATACTTCGTTACATGGGTCAGAAAAAAAAGGGCAAAAATAATATGGTAGTTCTTCCTTATGCCGCTTTGGTTCTGTGAAAATCAATTTTTCGAAATGAAAACGCATCTAAAGCTTCTTGCTATATCCACTGATTAGTAGAATCACCGAAGATAACTATCCACTAGCACTTTAGTATTTAAACTCTTTCACGATGAATTTTGTATTTAGAGAAATCAGCTAGCTAGCTATGCAAAAGATAACCAAGTACCTGTTCCACTATTGGTATGTTATTGCCATTGGACAGTTCAGTTCACCCTGAGTTTACTTTTTCTCATAAAAAGTGGAGTTCCATTATATTAATTCTCGTCTCAATAAAAGGGTAGTGTAGATATAAAGCCAACGTTCAATATGTTGATATGAATCTCATCTCAACAATTTGGTTTCTTATAAATATGATAGGTGTTTTATTCTTTCAACTTTTTGTTTTATATTACCCTTTTCAACATTTTTCTGTACTTTTTACACTTTTTGTACACAAATCAAATTTACAAAAGCCAAATTAAGATGCGTTATCAGATGTGCATGTGAACCCGGCTTTAAAATATTTAAAATCTCAGAGTTTTTAGACTATTTGAAATTTAATAGCAGAAGATGTTTGTCGCCAGTAGTTGCTTTTGGATTGGTTCAAAACTTAATAAAGGCCAAATATGTGAACCGTTAGTTTATTGCACAATTGTATCTGATAGAATCCTGCCATTATGATGTATACTGTTGTTCGCTAATATATGAGCCGAAACTGGCTTCGATGAGAATTATAGAATATATGGATAGTTTCCTCTTTCGGTGCACTTTGTAGGAAAAGTCCCATCGAAAAATTATAGTAATGCTGTTTTCGTTATTTTTTTTCCAATATGGGCGAAGTATATCATTGAGATAAGCAAGGATGAAAGCATACTGCTAAACTTGTCGAAGAATTAACTTTGAGCGAAAAAGTACGGCTTGACTGATGAGAACCAAAAACGTTTCCATATTTAAATGTACTTATATGTATATTATATATTCAGTTAATATCATAGACGACACACTCAAATTTTTCGAATTTAAACTGGGTATTTTTCGATTGTAGCTTATCAAAAAAGATTAAAATCAAAATTAAAATGTACGGTTTTATAATTAACGTTACTGGTATTTTATTTCTATGTTGATTGTAGCGATTTGCTCTTATCATTTGCTTTTGTTAGATAACCTCTCTTATTTACATATAGATAGACGTTAGTCTGTTTGTTGGAATGAATGAGTCGACACAGATTTGCTACTCTCTTGGACTCGTTCACGGGAGAAATCACTATCATGTGAAACAATTGCATCTGAGAAACTAAGTAAGCTAATGCGTTAAAAAGTGTAACAAGTTAATCTATACTCTCTTGATTTTGTAAGACGCACCTTATTTGTTGTTGAAGTTTTAAAAAAATGAACATAATTCTTTTTAGATATAAAGTAAAAATATTATAATTTATAACTTGAATAAACACTAAAATGGGCAGACCAGACTTTCGCGGACGTGGTGGTGGCGATCGTGGAGGTAGAGGTGGATTTCGAGGAAGAGGTAATATTTCATTAGTGGTTCTATATGTCATCTTAAAGTGTTTCATACATCCAGGCATGCGCATTTTGGATCATAAAAATTGAAGAAATATGCAGCTTTGGATTTTTTCCGATTATTCGCACAGAGTATTCACGAAAAATAGTACCTTGGTTGCGTCCTATAATCTATTATTAGACACATGCCTATTTTTAGATCTTTGGAATCTATAACATTTTTGTTTTCTAGGATTTGATCGAGGTGGACGTGGTGGAGATCGTGGAACACGTGGTGGTGGTGGCTTTAAAAGAGGTGGCGATCGAGGTGGAAGTAAGTTTTGCTTTACTTTGCACTTTCTCTTCAAAAATGTGTCTTCAACTTATTCATCATTTGTCATATATTTAGGAGGACGTGGTGGACCCCGAGGTAAGATTTTCTCTTCGTGTGGTTTCAAATCAAAGTTTTGTGAATTAACAATGATCTTTTTTGCTAGTCAGTTTCACATCTATTTGAGGACTATATTGACTTTTTGTTGCCTGCTCAAATCAATACAATAGCTCTTTTAGCCTTTTTGAATCTTACAAACTATTGAGTTGCTTACGAATTATACGGTCTTCAATTTTCTGTCTTTCAAAAAAGGTATGTTTCTCTGTTATGTCTTCAGGTAGCACTAATTTATGTACTTTTATCTTGAAAATAACAACTGTATACTGTTGATTTCAATTAACAACCAGTATATTTTATATTTTTGCAGGAGGCGGTGGACGCGGTGGCGGAGGTAAAAAGGTTGTTGTTGTGCCTCATAGACATCCTGGTAAGCTAATAAAGTGATTCTAAACTACCTTGTGCTTATTACTATAACAAACATTTACATTTTAGGAGTTTTCATCGCACAAAGCAAAGTTAGCATCATCAGTTAAATCTTTATTGTATTTCAAAGATCTTTACTTATTGTCTTTTTTAAGGATGATGATATGTTATTAACAAGAAATCTTGTTGTTGGAGAAAGTGTTTATGGTGAAAAACGTATTAGTGTTGATGTATGTATTCTATTTTTTTATCATTTTCTACCGCATTTCGGTATTTATCTCATGATTGATGTTCTGTTCATAAGCATATACGTACTTTCAATTGTTTCTACTATTTTTTTTATATTTCAGGCTGAAAATGCAGAAAAAATTGAATATCGTGTATGGAATCCATTTCGTTCGAAATTAGGTGCAGCTATTTTAAGTGGGGTTGACAATATTCATATGCCACCTGGTTCGAAAGTATTATATTTGGGAGCAGCCAGTGGCACAACAGTTTCCCATGTTTCAGATATCGTCGGACCGGCAAGTTGTCATGTCAAATTGATCTAAATATTGAACAAATAATTCTGTTTTTATCTATTTCAAGGAAGGTCTTGTGTATGCCGTTGAATTTTCTCACCGTTCTGGACGAGATTTACTTAACGTAGCAAAAAAACGTCCAAATATTATTCCTATAATTGAAGATGCACGTCATCCGCATAAATATAGAATGCTGATTGGTGAGTATTTCATATTTCTGGTAGAAAACAACATATTTCATAGTATTGTTCATTTATAGGAATGGTTGACACAATGTTTGCTGATGTTGCACAACCCGATCAAGCACGAATTTTAGCATTGAATGCACATCATTTTCTTAAAAATGGTGGAAATTTTGTCATTTCTATCAAGGTATGTATTCTTTTCTTGCCATTGTAGATAAAAATCATAGTTCAAATCTTATATTGTTTAGGCAAGTTGTATTGATTCAACAGCAACACCTGAAGCTGTGTTTGCAGATGAAGTAAAAAAATTACAAAGTGAAAAACTAAAACCAAAAGAGCAAATAACATTGGAACCATACGAAAGAGATCATGCAGTGGTCGTTGGAACGTACAGGTACAGTAAAACATTGCTTATTTTTCAATGATCTTAGACTCATAAAGATTACACAGTATATTATTCACAGATCATAATCTTTCTTTTTTTGAATTAGGCCAGTCGGAAAAGGGAAAAAAGAAGAAAACCAAAATGAATAATGTTTTCTGTTTGTGTAGATGTTTATTACTTTGTTTTGTTTTTCTTGTGTACGCTTGAACTATTGTTATTTGTGTTATTCAACAATTTGGAAATAAATGGTTTTTTATACATATTTGTAGAATATATAGTATCACGTTTTTGTTTCCCGTAAACAAAAGTGAACAAACCTTTAGTTCAATGATGAAATAATCAGAATTCTAAATTTTAAATTGTGGTATGCATCTTCGATATGATTAATCGATGACTGAATGTTCAGTTCCAAGCACTTGACAACATCAAGGAATAAATAATAGCTCGTTTTTCTGTTTTGCTATCGATGGAACTTGTTTTGAATACTCTTTTTGAAAGAAAACGGTGAGTGTTTTTGAGAATTCTATCATAAGTCTAGAATTAATCACATTCTTCAAAAAAAAGTAAAAGAATTTGAATGGTAAACTGTTACAAATAAGAATAAAATAGATTGAATATTAAATTTTTTTCTTGTGTAGCGTCTAAATTATATAAAATAAAGTAAATTATAATATTTGTTTTACGTATTCAATGTTCGCAGTTTAAGGGTTTCCTTGATTGATTTTGAGTACACGTTGAAAAGAATCAAATTCAATGTAGAATAACTATCTCGTGCAAAAAAGATTCAACAACTGAAGTGAACAGCATACAATATGGTAAGAGTAAAGGTAGATTATTAGTTCAAATAAATATACGTTAAATCTATTTTATTAGGAAGAGCCTTTAACAGCTGAACAAATTTCTGGTAAATAAAAAATTTTTTCGAGTGATCAAGAGACAATAATTCAAGTTTCCTATCTTAGAATTTAGAGAAGCATTTGCGCTATTTGACAAAGATTCTGATGGTTTAATAACAACAAAAGAATTGAGTATGTTCATGCGTAGTTTAGATCAAAATCCAACCGAAGCTGAACTGCAAGATTTAATACATATTGTTGATACGGAAGATACGTATAATAAAAACGTTTAGTTTACCAGTTTTATGTTGTATTGATCATTAATCTACTTCTTTTTGTAAGAACCGGCACAATTAATTTTGCAAAATTTTTAACGATGATGTCACGTAAAGTTAGCACGTCGGATGATAAAGAAGAATTAACGGAAGCATTCAAAGTTTTTGACATAGATGGAAATAATTTGATCGATGCAGAAGAATTACGACAAGTCATGAATAATCTTGGTGAAAAACTGACGCGAGAAGAAGCAGAAGAAATGATCAGAGAAGCGGATACTGATGGAGATGGGCGGCTTACTTTTGAGGGTAAGATTGAAAAAATACTAATAGCTTGAACTATATTTTCGAAACGGTGCAGCATTTACCAATATTGAAGTGAAGACGTCGCTCCTCTTTGTCGCACATCAGATCTGTATATGCTGCAAATTAATATTCTTTTTTTAGATTTTGTGGAAATAATAACCAAAGGATCACATCCAACCGATTCTATTTAATAGGGAAAGGATTACTCGAGACAATGGCACAGATGGTTTTGTTTTTCACGCGAACATTCACGCATACAGTTTTATAACTTTTTTAAAATAGAGATTTTCAGACTTGTATTTATTTAAAATATATTGACATAATGAATAGTTTTTTGACAAAAATTATGGTGATGCAGCTAATAGACCGTCTAGAGCATTATAAAATCTTGTTAAAAAGACGTTGTAAATGTAATGCTGTGAGAACAAAAATATTGTTATATATTGTATGGATCGATATACATATACTATTTATTTGTCGTTGTTGCACTTTTTAGCCTAGGGTCTGAACTGAACAAACAGCTAGCCCACACATCTCTAGTTTGATGGAAGTATCGAGAAAGACCCTGTTGTAAAATCAACTATTTTTTCTTATGGAACGAGTAAACTAACAGTCTCTAAAAAAATCTGTTTCACAATGTCTTACTAGTATGTCTAATCTGAACTTGAAGAGAACGTATTGAAAGAACGTTCTGTTTAAATCTCACAATTAATTACAAATTTGTCCAGATGATGTATATTTTCACTCGGATTTCGACGTAGAGAACAAAAAAAGCCGTCATCTTCACCGTACACTCTTTAAGCAATAAATATCGAGATGTTTTACTGAATTTCTTGAATCGATCTCTTTGCTAGTTTTTTTATTGCAAAAGCAACGGAACACACAATAGGCCACCATGTGGACATTAGGTGACAACTTGAAAGTACCCCTTTTAACGATTCAAATCGTCCTATATATACTTCGGACCACAGGCTATTTAACAACGTAAAACTTTTTGCCACAAGTGATGAATTTTCGGAAAAAATGCATACTAAAAAATAGCCCGTATTTTTGCGACCCATATGAAAAAACAATTTTTCCTTAGATTTTACCGTTTGAAATTTGCAAAAGTATATATTCGGAATCTAGGACCTTTTAGCTATCGATTCATAAAAAAGTTTTTTTCGGAGACTTTAGCGTCAGAAAAATAAAATTTTCTTTCTACGCTTGCTTTCCGAAGAAGTATGCTCGGTATAATGAGTTTCCGAATGTTTTCGAAACTCCAAACTTGTTGAAACTTTCACAAAATGTTCTTCTTCTAATAGTACATCTGTACGAATAGCATAAATTAGCATAAATTCCCAGACTGACTTATAGGTTTTCAGGTAAAATCCACTTTCCTCACTCTTGAAGCACTTTCATCAAAAACTAATGATATATTTAGAATCAGCGCATCGAACTGCATCGAATGATATGTCAGTCGTATGTTTTTATGTGCAAAAAATCATTTGATTTAATGAAATGACAGATTTGCAGTATTCCCGTAGCAATTTTGATTAGCCACGTGGACATGTACCATAAAAGTGATGCGAAAGCCTCTAAATACTATTTTTATAGGTTTTTGTATGCTCTTTTCCCAATGGTGTGATCTACAAGTCCAAGGATGTTTTTATCAGGGTTTTTCAAAGTCCGGTCTTTGGAAAACCCTGATAAAAACATCCTTGAACTTGTAGATCACACCATTGGGAAAAGAGCATACAAAAACCTATAAAAATAGTATTTAGAGGCTTTCGCATCACTTTTATGGTACATGTCCACGTGGCTAATCAAAATTGCTCACTGTGGACCAGTGACTTATTTATGAGCATACTTTTTAATTCAATTTTCTGGTTGAATAAATACATGATTTTTGTTGTTCTTTTGTTTTGAATCCTTTTTAAATACTTTCGGATATTTTATCATGCTACATTACTTTTCGAGAACACAAGAATCCTTCGAGTTATGACTAGTAGAAACTATCTTTATTCATTACTTTTTGCATGATTTCTCGTTACAAGAGAATCGTATCGTCATGCTGAATGTGAGCAAGTTTTAACGTTCGTAGTGGCATAGTTTAGAGCTTTTAAAGAGGTATATTCATTTAATAGAGAAATAAGTTGTCCATTAGGTGATAAAATTGAAATTTGTTGAATGGCTTAAGTTATCGAATGTGAAACAAAGGTATAGTATGAGACATTTATCACGTAATGTTTTAACTGCGTTTCCACTGGCCGTGTGTTCCATAAAATCTTCAGCGATTTTACCAAGAAAAAACTGAGAATAATGTTTTTTTAATTGTGTTTCATATTGTGATTGATATATAAAGTGGAGGAAAAACGTTTAGAGATAAACTTGTTTTTGTTCTTTCTCGTGAACCCTAGTAGGTACAATTAATCTGATTTTAGGTTCGTACAGTGCTGACTTCGATGTGTGTATGTGAGTGAATTGCATAGCCATTGTACCGTTGGCTATCGGAGAAGGTTTTGCTTATAAAAACTGTTCTTTTCAACCGATTTTAAATTTCTGTATTTATTCTATTTGTCCATTAATGGTCATTCACTTGTGAGAAAGAGAACTCTTCATCTCAAGTGGGTGCTGAGATATAGATCAAAGTTAGCTGTTTTTGGCACTATCTGGAGAAAGAATCAAAATTTTCCTCTAATTTATTTTAACTAGTTCTAAAAGTTTTTTAGCGTTTCTTGTAGCCTGTAAAGTAGATTTTCAGAATACGTACTTTGAATTTAGATAAAATCATATTTTGACTCTGGTTTTACCAAAAACTCTGTTTACAAACACTTTCACAAAATTCTTTCCGCCGAGATTAGAACTAGATTCATATACCATTGACGAACCCTGAAAACTTTTGAAATAGACAGGAAGATAGAGCGTACAAAGCTCTACATTTTGGCTAAAAAGGAAACTTTTTTAGAGCTTTTTATCCAATCGAAAATCAGGATAAAACATTTATTCAATCTGTTTTTTTGTACAAAATGTCCACCGCGATTTTGAAAATTGTTTGGTCTATAACTCTGGTACAGTTTATCCATTAGAGTCGAGCCCTTTACCCTTTTTTTCATTTGCTGTCCAGAATATGTAATAAAAACGACAACACTCTAGCTTGCCTTGTTACAGAGAAAATCTCATTTTACACCGAAAATGTCCACCGAGATTATTTTGTGCATTTTTCGACTCAAATAACTTCGAATTCCAACTCACCATACATCATACGATTCGCTGAAACCTGCGCTATTCGCCTGAAATTAAAAAAGCTTGTGTGGTCTATACGTTATCCTTTATTTGTTTTGCACATTCTATGATCAGTTAAAGCTTGAAAAATATCCCAATTAGTTCGTTGTTGTTAAGAAAACCATAATAATTCCTGTACATACGGTGACCCAAAATTTAATATTCGATTCCCGAGCTGTACAAATAAGAAAAGGATTTTATGTCCCATAATTCTACTCCAGAATTATAATTTTCTGCTTCTGTCAATCATTCTTAGAAAAAAACAATAATTTCTTTTTTTGGAAGGAGTTTTTGATTCAATAAAATTTCCAAAATCTTACTTTTTAAAAACCTAATGCAAACAGTCTTTCCATCATTCAGTAGGATAGAGCAAAGACTTCTCTTCAAAATGAGATATCCCGCGGCCCTCAGCAACCTTTTTTCATTCAGTTATGACTTTTATACCGAAAGTCTCACAAACAGAAGTCTCAGCAGCGTTATGAAAAAAAAGAGCTGTGAAAGGCTGATTATCGATCGCTTTGGAGCTTCTAGTGTAAAAGTCATAGCCCAATGAAAAAAGGTTGCTGAGGGCCGCGGAACATCTCATTTTCAAGAGAAGTCTTTGCTCTATCCTACTGAATGATGAAAAAAATATTTGCATTAGGTTTTTAAAAAGTAGAATTTTGGAGATCCTGGATTTTTGAAAACCTTTTTTTCTAAGCAGGATAAAGTTAAGTTGAACTTTTTTGAATTATATATATACACACATCGACGTCAGCACTGTACGAACCTAACCTCAGGTTTATTATACCTACTAGGGTTCACGAGAAAGAACAAAAACAAGTTTGTCTCTAAACTTTTTTCCTCCACTTTAGCCTTATCTAAAAATATAAAAAAATGAAAGAAAACAATGAGAGAATAAGAAAAAGGAAATATCCTTACTATTTTGGTTTTTCTCTTTCTCACATTTTATTTTATACTATGGTGGATATTTGTTGTTACCAGTATTTTTTATTCATTGGTCATAACCAATTATTATTGTGAAATATTATTGTCGAAAATCCGATCAATACATGTCGTTGTCAAATGATGAAATATATTTAGGTCATTTATATTTGTTTTGATCTAGAATAAAAGAGCTATTGATTAGTGTGCTAGTAGATCAAATAGTTGTACGATAGAAAAAAAAGAAATAGACAATATTTTCTATTCTTTTTCGTCCTAGCATACTGGATAAATATATGTGATGGAGTACAGGTTATTATTCAAGAATTTTCGTGATATTTAAGTATTTCGTTACTGAATATTGAAAAGTGACCTGCTAAAATAAAAAGTAGTCGATTAATTTACCTTAACAAAATACAGCGTATGTAATTAAGATAGACAGAAATGCCACCTTGAAAGTTTTTTTGTAAAATTGAGCTTCTGTAATAATCTCAACAAGTATAAGTTTCATTAAGGATAGATTCTGTAAAATATTAAGCATTCATTCTCACTGCAAAAGGGTTTTTCTCAGATTATTTTCTCTCGTGAATGTACGCATTCATGAGTACCCAGATGCGTACTCATGCTGAAAACCGCATGGAGTACACATACGTACTCACACATGTTTTTACTCATTGAATACTCACATGAGTACTCGCATGAGTACTCGCATGAGTACTCACATGAGTACTCGCATGAGTACTCATGCTTCAGTGTTGTTGAGTACCCATATAACTTGTGGCAAAATATTCATGAGTATTGTTCATCTGGTATTTTCATATAGAGGAGTGATCTCAAGCAGTCAGAGTAGTACTGTAAGTCTAGTCATAGTCAAGTCTATCTCTCACGACACACAGAGAGACACGGGAGAAAAAATAATATAAATATTCTTCTATAGAGTAACCAGTAAATATACTTTTAATCACCAAATATTTTTAGATACAAATATTCACCAAAAAAAGATATTCTTGATCACCAAACTTTTCAGCATGAATCTCATATTTTTATTTCTCAATAAAGTATAATGTACAACGCAAACATATTCATTGAAATATTCATCAAATGAACAATATTTTTACAGTTTTTATTTATAATTTTTATCGCTAACTTGATACAAGTTAAATAAAATTACTAATCCAATAGATTGTTGCCACACCAGAAAATCATTGAATGTGAGCCACTGGCGAGAATGATAAATATCTAGCCAATGACATATTCAATGATTTTCTGGTGTGGCAACAATCCTGTTGGATTAGCAATTTTATTTAACATTTATCAAGTTAGCGATAAAACACGTATTCAGCCATTAGACAAGCGAAAAGCAAAAGGGCGTCCAAAGAAAGTTAGAACAGCTTTAAATTTGTAAATAAATGTAGATAAAACTGTAAAAATATTTTTCATTTGGTTAATATTTCAATGAATATGTTTACATTGTACATTATACTTTGTTGAGAAATAAAAATGTGAGATTTATGCTGAAAAATTTGGTGATCATAAATATTTTTTTTTGGTGATCAAAAAAATTGATACTTCTAAGTAAAAATACCCCAAAATTGCTAGTAGAACTCATATGAGTACTCATGGACGAATTATGAGTAAAGTTGTACCCATAGTCAGAGCCGCAAATAGCAGCCTAACATTAGCGGAGTGTAAAACAAATTTTCTTTCTGAGGAGTCTCTGAGGAGAAATAATTGATAAAATAACAACAGCATTTTCAATTATTCGGGGAGTGTGCACTCGCCTACACCCTCCCGTTATTTGCGACCCTGTTCATAATGTACTTCCACTAGGGTTATCAACTGTTTTCTTCGAAGCTATCGCTATTTTTCGCTTATTTCTAAAGTTATACTAATTTCAATAGAAGATAACAAATTTTTCTATATTTATGCTTACATCTATTAATACATATGTGCGAAAATATGGTAAATAAATGACACTTTATTGTTTACCACTATTTAGACCTGATGTATGTTAGAAAATAAGATTTCGAAAGTCCATACAGTATGAGAGTGACGTCGATGAAAAATCTATAATCAACAAATCAAAAAGAAGAAACAAAGAAGCGGAATAGTTTGTCTATTTGAAAGATGATATATGTACACTAATGCTCAAGTCGTCTCTTTCTTTCTGTTTGCAAACAGTAGAAAAAGGTAGCTATACCTAGAGTAGAATACAAAGACAAAGAGGCAAGAAAAAATAATTTTAAAGTTCTATGCTAAGTAGGCGGCATAACCTCGATGATGGAATAAGAAAAAAACGAGCTATGTGTATTTACAGATATTTTTTATTTTAATCCATTTAAGTCAAGTGGAAAGACTATCAAGTCGTATAAGAGTTCGATTTGTTGAGAGGGGACATTGTTGAATAATCTTTGCTTCGCAATTATTCCTGTGAAATGATCGGTTCGAAAGGGGCTTTACGAGATATAACTGGAATTAATTGTGGCAATGAGGGCGAGTTGGGAAGTATGGTCGCTATATTCCTAAGATCGCAAAGCTGTATCCGGCCCACTATATCCGTTTTCGGAATAATCATGCCACATCTTTCGTTATTTATACTTTTAACATTTACTTTCTTTTTCATCTGATAGTTACTAGCCATCATACTATTTGCAAAACTTAAGTTTAGATCACAGTTTGTTTTTACTCATAGTTTGTGTGTAGTGTTAAAGTTGCATCGTAACTATTAGAGTGTATTTGAAAACTGTTTTTTTCCACTGAATTTTGCTTTATTTATCTACTTTTAACGTAATTGATATTCATTGAAGCTGCGTTTATCTCTACACTTGTTATCGAAAAATCAACTTTTGGAAGGACATTGAAAGTATCTCATACCAGCAGTCCTTAAGAAATTTAGAATATTTTCTGATAACTACTTAAATTCACTCAAACATTTTGAATATTACTTAGAATCCCAGTATTTATTACTCATTTAGCAACAGAATATATTGAATAGTACTCATTCCTCATTCAAATATTTTGACTATTACTCAGATTTCCTTTAGGAAGAACAATCATTAACCAAATGGCTACTTAATTGTATACTTTTTCCAAATCAATCGAAAGTTGCTTAATTAGTATACATATTTTATCTAATTGTTGGAAAGTAAAATCCATTATAGCAAAAAAAATATATATCTCCCTTTTTGTAGGATAAAAGCTAATTAAAATAAAAATTAATCATTGGAAAGTAAATCCTGTAAATCATAAATAGTGTTGTACACAAATACCCGACGTTCAACCACAGAAACATAGAAAATCTAGGAATAGGATAATACATTTTCTCGTAGAGGTAGTATGAAACGTTGTGAAGTGCTGACAGTAATCAGAACCAAAATTCTCAAGACATTTTTAATGATGAAAAGAGAATGAATACTTTTTATACCTCTGTTCAGGAATGATTGTTTATATAACATTTAGTACTCACCTAGGGCGAGCAATCGTACATCAAGATTTTCTATGGTCCTATAAGATCTTACAACACCTTATTCCAAGAAAACCATAAGATTTCACAGGATCTTGTAAGATCTCATAAGATTGTATAAGATATCATATGATCTTGCAAGAAGTGATAAGATCTCATAAGATCAAGTAAGAATTCATCAGATCTTATAAGATTATGTGCCTGGTCGTGTTCTATAAGTTTTCTCTAGACCCTCTTAAAAACCAGGTAAAAAAGTCAGATCAAGATCTTACACGATCTTATAAAATCTTACAGAAAATTATAGAAACGGATTCATCTTGTAAAATCTTATAAAAATCATACAAGAATCTTATGAAATCTTATTATAAGATCTTGCATTAAGAATCAGTTTCTATGTTTCTTACAGAATCTTACGAAATCGGACGGAATCGTACAAGAATCTTATAAGATCTTACAACAAGATTCTTTGACCTGCGAAAGTATCTTTTCCTATTCATAATATTTTCTGGCATAGGTAGGACACAAACGTTCTTAGGGTCGTGTTTAACCACGTTCCTTATTCCATGCACTTTATTTGCGCTCAGCTGATGTGCGAAGACGCAGAAAGAAAAAAATTCTAAGTTTTGTCATAAGAACTATATTATATATACACCCAATATCATGGCAAAATTTATGTGGTAAGAATGAGCCATCGATTCTTGCAAGATCTTATAACAAGAAATCATATGATGCGATAAGAAATAAATATAAGTCACGTTTCTCAATGGCAAAATCTTGTAAGATCATACGCTTTTGTATTACAAGATCTTGTAAGATCTTGTCGCGTCTTATGGGCTGATCATGTAAGATCTTAGGACAAGAAGTTACAAGATTCCGCAGGATCTTACAACATCCTAAGACAAGACCTTGTAAGATCATACAGTAAGACCTTGTTACAAAATTTCATAAGAAAATGGCAGATCTTGTATGATCTCGTAAGATGAGTTTCACTTGGGCAGCAGGTTTAATTTGATAACCCAACTATTCGATTAAAAACAACTGGGACAGTCTAACAATTTGGGTTAGTTGATAAAACGACATGATTTTCAGTTGTTAATTTTTTATTAGATTCATTTTGAGTAATTCTACACTTGTTAGAGCTAATAGATCTACCATAGTTTAGCAAACGCCGAAGTATGATTGGTATTATTTTTGTTTGCAAGTGTGCTCTAGTACTATTTTACAATATACATTTATATCTTTATTCCTATTTTATTTAGTATGAACGAACAGGGAATCACCAATATTCAAAACAATAATCATAATAGCAATGGCGTCATAGTAATGAATAATGCTCCATTGGTATGTATTCATCGAACAGGATTGTCCAATAGTTTTGAAATCGATCCCATTATCACTACTCGTCTTCGTCCTGATTTGCTATCATCGTCGAAAGAGGGATATTTAGAAGCAAAAAAAGACACAAATGTGCGAGATTATTCAACATCAATAAATGATAGTCATCATCATCATCATCGTTTATCATTATTCAAACCAATTGAAAGGAAATTTTCTAAAATGTTACGTGGTACATATTCGTCGTCATCAGAATCGTCTTCCTCTGTCCGAAAACGGAACTTACTTTCGTCAAGATCGTCTCTCCCTGCACAAAAACAGAACTTACGTTCGTCTCTTCCTGCACAAAAACAGAACTTACGTTCGTCTCTTCCTGCACAAAAACAGAACTTACTTTCGTCAGCATCGTCTCTCCCTATACAAAAACGGAACTTACATTCATCAAAATCGTCTTCCCCTATACGAGAATCGAACTTACTTTCGTCACCAATAGCACCTACTCCTGACACCGTAGGATTAGACTTTAATTTTGACTTTACATATAATGAGTTGCAATCGTTATGTCAAGAAAATTGTGCATTTTTTGGACGGAGCAAAAATGATCTTAGTCGATCATTTGAAAGATTATGTATACAAATTTTACACTCATTAGACATATCTATACCCATAATACGTCACATAATGAAAAATTTTCATTATTTTGATTACAGTGAAGAGGTAAGTCGCTGGATCATAATTTAACGATATAAATTTTTTGATATTATGTCTTTAGATTAAAGCAAACGGATATCGATCAGTGGTTGTTAGTCACGGACAATGTTCGCTTAGATGTCTGGATATCGTAAGGCAATTATCGGAAAAACGTCAGAATTTATTATTTACTCTGGTGTATTCATCGCGTTTTTTACAAGATCTTGAAGCATGGACAAAATGTTTAATGTCATTACAAAATATTATTCAATTTACAGCGAAAATACTTACATATTCAGAAAAAAAAGTTTTACTGGTGGGTATCTTTCATAGAACGGGCAGTGTAAACGTGTAAGATTTTGTTCTACAGAACGCTTGAGTGTGACTTTTGTAATTAGTACATTGATTCTTTTGGATAATAATAAGGCCAAGAAAACCGTTTCTTGTAAACGAATATTCGGACCATCTCATTGTCCGTTTCTTTAGTGTAATGGAATGGAGCTGCTAGCGTAGCTTAGCTAACTTTTTACAAGTATTTGTCCAAACTAATACGTTTGTAAATATACTATCGGTTAAATTCCAGATTGATGGTGATCATCTTTCATTAGATGTTGAATTAGAATATTTTAAAATGGTTACAGTTGATCAAGAAGCATTTTTTGGTAGAACTTGTGGATTTCAAGTATGAATATTTTTAGTTTAGTTTGCGTATAGGCATTGGTGAATCTTGTCATTTAAGTTTGCGCAATCATTACACACGATGTTGACGTTATTACTTGCTGGATTAGCCACATATCATGATACATACAACAAATCCATTCCTCATGCTGCTCTTACACTTGCGACAAGTTCTAAATATATCATGTTTCCAGAACAACGTGCAAAAAAAGTGTGTGCATTACACTTGTTCAAAATGACTTTTATTGTAATATCGTTTCATTTTAGTGTGCCAATGTATTTCGTGACAGCGATTATTTATTTTGTAAGAGTTTTTGGAATCTAGTTGATCATGATGTGATAAAGGTAAACATCTATTTTATCCTTAACAAAATACATTGACATCCCATGAGGCTGTTTTTCGTTTGAAACGGTGTCCAAACGCGTGTAAACGACGAAGTAATAGAAACGTGGTTTTTAGCCGTTTATAAACGATATACAAAACGCGTTTCTATTATTTCGTAGTTTACACGCATTTGGGCACCGTTTCAAACGAAAAAAAAACCTCATGGGATATAACTTTTTTTAGATTGGTGCCAGGATAATAATTTCGAAAGTTACAGTAAACAAATATTTTCAGATTGGACCAGATCCAATCACATTGTCACGATTAGACAGTCAAGGAGATGAAGTGGTGATTAATGCGCCAACCGCTTCAGCTGGCGAAGGAGAGCCGCGTGAAAGAGCTGCTAGCAATATTGGAAGTGACACTTCGCAACTTTCAGCTGGTAGTGGTGCCGAGAGACTATACAATTTAGTTAACATTAAAGTTTTATCTAGCGAAGTGAGAAAAGGAATGGAACATTTGTCCTCGAAAAAAAGCGATTATGAAATTAGTTCTCACAAAATGTTACCACAAAGTGATCATTTGATTATGCACATTCATGGTGGCGGTTTTATTGCAACATCTTCAACTACACACGAAGTGAGTTTAACTGATCATGTAGTGTCATCTCAATCAAAACTATTTGGATCTTTTTAGAATTACCTCAAACCATGGGCTTTAGAATTAGAAGTACCGATTGTGGCTGTTGATTATTCTTTAGCTCCGGAATATCCGTTTCCACAAGCTATTGAAGAATGTTATTACGCTTATGCATGGATACTCAAAAATGCTGATAAACTAGGTTACTAGGCTTATAGCCATACTCAACAATATAAATAAATATGTTCTGATTCTTCTGTTGCAGGTTGGAATGGAAAAAATTTGATATTAACTGGCGATTCTGCTGGAGGAAACCTCGTTACCGTCGTAACAATGAAAAGTATTGAAGATGGTTTAAGATGTCCGGTATATATTTGATCCTTAAGATAGATTCAACACTTCTAAGTCGGCTGCTATTGTTTTAGGATTCACTTGTGTGTTTTTATACACCATTCCTATTAGGTTATAGGTAATAATTAAAGGAAATATCGAAAACAACTTTGAGCTTCTATTCTTTTTATTTAGTATGTCACCTTCAAGAGTAATGGCTATTATGGATCCTCTGTTAAACGCTGGATTTCTGTGGCGTTGTTTGGCAGGTACTACAGAGCTCATTTGAAGCATCCTCTTGGTACAACATGTAACTTCGTATAATTTTTCAGCGTATGCCGGTATCAAACTCGATAATGAACAACCTATAGATCACTTGAAGCCTAGGAAAGATCGATCCTCACATAAATTGGTACGCATTTTTAACGCTTCATTACATTATTATATATTATGAAATATGAGTTCTATTTTAGAAAAACAAAATATCTATTAATTCAGATAATTCCACATTTAACTGTGAAATGAATACTACAGAAAGTTGTTCTCCTGAAAAACATATAATTGGTTCTGTGCCCGATTCACTTAAAATACGATATGTAAATGCTCAACAATCAGCTTCTCCTAATATTCAAACTGAAAATCACGAACAAGAAAATCTTCGAAAAGAGATTGAAAGTCATTCTGTTCATGTTGTATCAGAATCTATTGATCAAACTGACAGAACTGCTTCGTTAATAGAAAATACGGTTAGTGGTCAAATAGTGCATTCATTGTTAGCAACAACCGAAAACAGCCCATCAGCAAACGTTACATTTGGATTCGAAGAGAATTATTATATGAGATTAGACGAAATCATGCACAATCAACAGGCTCATTTATTAAGAAAACTTAGAGAATCAAGTTTATCAAATCATCCATACATGTCACCATTATTAGCAGATGACGAAATTTTGAAAAAATTTCCAATGACTTATCTTATTGTACGTATAATTTCTTGCATTTTTATTTTTTCAAACAGAAATTCGTGTACTCATGTTTCTCATATCTAGTACGCTATGTTTCTACTTCACTGCTAGTTCTTAAGTCGTTCCACACACAAATGGTTTATGTTATTTTCTTATCACCAAGAACTGGTCATTCTTTTGCATGCTCATGCTTTGCTCTCGTAACCATTTTAGCATGTGGATGGATCATAAGTAGAAGATTATTTGTGCAATGTTTGGACTTTAAGGAAACTTAGAAAGCTCATTATACTGAAGACTTGTTTTTCAGAAAATTTGTTAGTCTGCATTTCCTTAACAACATTGAATTCAAACTTGAATACCTTTTTATCATTTGTAGCTGAACAATCTGTGGTTGTTTATTTCTAAACTCGTTCCGAAAAGGCAGCATGACTTGATGGTAATGTTGTTCGTCACGTACTTTCAAAACTACTGTGTTCGAATCTCAGCACTGGCAAAGTCATGTAATAACCTTGGGCAAGTTACTTATGTCTTAGTGCCTCGGGTCATCCGTCTGACAGCATACTCACTACGTTATGGCGTACAATAGAGCTTCTCCGGTTAGTCTTCGTGTCTTTCCAGAAAGCTAGTACGTAGTTAGTGAAGTGTGTATAAGTACGTTGAAAGTGTATCGAGGAAAGAAAAGTTATTCGAAATTCTGTTTAAACTATGGAAAATCGAGTTACTTCAACTAGTTGCTGAACGTATTAAAGAGCTGAAGCGACAGAGAACTAATTATCGAGCGTACAGCTTGTATAAGCCAAAACTAAAATAATAGACGCTTCTTTATGAGCTGAAATGGCTACATAAGAAGTTTGTAATAGTACCCCTAGACAAGGCAAGCAAGAACGTTGCTCTTGTGTGTAAAAAGTTTTATTTACAAAAAATACTGAAAGAAATTGGCTACTTTAAATCTTCTCATACATGCAAAATACTCGGAAAGCAAAACCAGCAACAATTATCGATTCTCAATGCCTTTAAAAAAAACACAACATTGAGGTGCCAAATAAAGTGAAGTTGTTACCGTTTATTTATTGGATTCTAAAGTTTCAGAAAAATCCAATAAAGCAACGATTTATCATATCATTATCGTACTGTTATACGAAAAAATTGGCGCAATTTCTTTGTGCTGCTTTACTATTGATGTACAAACAGCAGATCAGATATTGTACAAACATCAAACTCAAAACAAAAATCAATCGTTTTTGGATAATCGATAATTCGTCCGAGGTACTCAACAAAATAAAAGAGATTAATAAGAAAAATCCGGCTAGAAACAAACATCGAAAAGTACGATTTTTCAACGTTGTATGCCAGCATTCCACACGATCTCTTGATTACAATTATGGAATGGATAGCGAATACAAGTATTCTATCGGAAAATACTGTTATAGTAGCTAATAGTTGGTCGGCTATTTTCCACAGTAATTTCAATATGAAGAAAAAAAGTAACAAAAATCAGTTGATCTTAACGAAAATTTTGTTCAACCAAATTGTTATTTTACTCTCGGATCAATAGTGATTCAACAAACTATTGGTATTCCGACGGTGACAGATCCGGGGCCATATTTTGCCAACTGGTTTTTATACAAATCAGAATTTGACTTCTTGGAAAAAAATGCCCAAAAGCTCTATGGGACTTGTAGATCATTAAACAATACTTTTTGGTCTATGGATGATCTGATTACCATCAATTCTGATGGCAAGTTCGATCAACACCAGCACTCTATTTATCTACAGCAGTCAACATTGAATCGTGAAAAACCGAACAACCAGAAGGCTACCTTTCTAGATTTTGAAACGAAAAGAGTTCTAAAACAGATTAAGTTAAAGCCGTATGACAAGCGCAGTAAGTTTGGATTCGACATAGTTAACTATCCGGATTTAGGAGGAAGTTTCCCCCGAACTATGGGTTATGGCGTTTTGATTGGGCGATGCTGCGTCTGTCCAGAACATCTATGGATTTTTCTACGTACCGACCTGCTATTATGGCTATGTATAAGAAATTGATAAGACAGGGTTATACATCGGAAAAATCCATCAAGACCTTAAAAAATAGCATCAATCTTATGGCCTCTAATATGTGGGGTTCATGCATTTACAACAGAAAAAGTTTGAACCAAATCCGTCAAATGCCAATATATTTTCTGATTTGAAGTCCACAATAGATATGCTTTAAATTGACATAAAATCTGTTTCTGAATGCCTAATAGTTCAAGTGAACTAAATTTTTATAAAATGGCACCTATAGGGCAAGAAAGGATTAATAGTATGTGGCCAGTGATAAAAAAATATGTTTTCGTGCACTTTTTCGTTTTTTTCTGTTATCAATTTATTGGATGAAAGTTACAAATTTAAACAAGAATCAAATAAGATTTCATTTCCTGTTTTCAGTTTTTTCTGACCAGCTACGATTACCGAGATATTCGCTATTTTGCAGTATAGAGGACGCTGTTTTTGTGAATATTTCGGTAATCGTAGCTAGTCAGAAAAAACTGAAAACAGAAAATGAAATCTTATTTGATTCTTGTTTAAATTTGTAACTTTCATCCAATGAATTGATAATAGAAAAAAACGAAAAAGTACACGAAAGAAGCATACTTTTTTATCGCTGGCCACATACTATAAAATGATTCTTTATACTATTCTAATAGCAAGGCGGGGTATTCTTCTTCCTCTTCAAAATCATTTTTAAAACTAAAAGCCTTTTTAAAGTTGAGAAAAAAATTAAGCTTTTTTGTTTGATTCTAAGCATATTTTTTTTATTCCATCGTTCGAGAAGAGAGCGAATTCTTTTAACGGAAAAAAATAGCCAAGACATCGAACCATACAATCCATTAATAGAAACAGAAAAATGAATACTTTCACTTTTCGACGAAATGTCTATCTGGATGCCATGCCATTTGTTTCAATCTTTTTTTTATAAAATACAGAAAGTAGCCGGAATACCTGATACAAAAAAAGAATATTTAATAAGGCATGCAAATTAACCGTTGTAATTGTTTGCTTCAACTGACAGAAGTGATTGATTATATTCCTATTTTTGGCTACTTTTTATTTTTTCTGTCAATGAACTCACGTAAATGTTAATTGTTAACCTTCCAGAACAATAAATTCAATATTAAAAAAAGAATATTTTCTTATTCCACGCATACCATCAAGATTCACATTTTCCTAAGCATTTAGGACGATTGAAAGTACAACATCGTTGGCACATAATCTGACCCATGGTTTCTTGTGTTTTTATAATTCCAATAATGATTGCAAAAAAGCTGTCGATAATATTACGCTTCAAGTAATATAACAAAAGAAATTGGAATCAACGTTCTTGGTATCCAGTCATGAAAAACAACATCGACAAAACGTTGTACAATAGTATGAGCAAGTAAAATTGTCATATATTAATCAATTTTTTATATTCTTTAAAGAATAATAAATCGGATGACAATAATTACTGATCGTTACCAACAAGGTCCACACAGCTGTCTGCGTTCAGTTCTTTGCTATTATCAAAATCACCGATAAGTTTAAAAAATTTATTACAATCAATTGAAGATAAATTAAAGCTGTCCGTATCGAATGAAACATAATGTATAAAAAATTATATACTTCTGTATCGCATTATACCAGTGCTTAGCAAGTTTATTTTTACTTCTCTGCCTTCTTTTAAAAACAAATTTTTTTATTTAATATTTTTTTTGCGATCATATCGTCCAGAGTCTTTAATTTTATATAGATATCGACTACGTACATAGAAAAGACCATTGCATTTGAAATGGGCGTATCAGATAGAGATAAACAGTGAGCAGAGACATATTCTAGTTAATAACAGTTGATATGTGATTCAAAATACTGTCTCTTGTCTTCTTTTTGATCCTCTGCTATTTATTGCTTTAATTTACTTTCAACTGATGATAATTTTTAGTTCTACCAAACGTTGATCTAATGGGCTGCGCAAATGTTATACGTCAATTAGTGCTCGCTACCGTACCGACGATATTTTTATTAATTAAATTTACTTAGTTCGCTAAAAATCTGATTTAATAACTAATTGCAACACTAACATTTGCTTTGTACTATAACTAATAAAATCGAATCGACTACTAGGTTAACTACCTCTTTTTACCCCATTTAATAGTCACTCGTATGATATATGAATTACATCGTCCTTCTGCTAGAGCTTTTCTGCTTTTGTCAACTTAGAGAATATAAAATATTAGTTCTGTTGAGATTTCTGCTCGACAAAGACCAGTGCGCAGGCTGCAAAATGTGAAGCGTACATTTCGTTTCATTAGTGCTAATCTTTCTAGATGTAAACCGTAGGGGAGATACCATTATACCATCAAACTTTTCGAAGTCTACGGCTGTGCAAAAAAGAACGCTCAGATGGTCTTTTCACATTAAAAATTAATGAAAAGTCTTATACTTCGTTGCTATGTCTGTGTTCATGAATCAGTTTTTATCTTTTTCAGCCGTGTGCAAGAGACGCTTTCATCGATGACAATGTAGAATTTGCAAAACGTTTACGCTCCCTTGATGTTCCTCATCAACTCATTATTGTTGATGAACTTCCACATGGTTTTCTAAATTTTGGATTTGCATCCACCACCAGCGCAAAACAAAATACGGACACGATTAAATTATTACAAAAGATATTGATCACAAATGTAACTTCAAAGCGTTACACATTTTTATAGTTATACTTTTTAGCTCCTTCTTTCTTTTTTGTTGTGCCTATTCAAACGAAATCTATTTCATGTATCGACTATATCAGCCTTATTGCATTCCAGTTTCTGGTGTATATCTGATGTAGTTTATGAATTTTTGTGTTCGTCTGATTCTGTTTTCTCTCTTCTTATATCACTCCAGATTTATGATGTAAAAGAAGTTTTTTACTTATAGATATCACAATAATTTTTCTTTTAAACTATTTTTTGGCTGTTGTGGCAAATAATGAAAGTTGTTCGCCTGTTTTAAATTTTATATGCGTTTTACCCTAAATGTTTTGTTTTTAATCATTTCTGTTAGTTGAAAAGCAAAGAAATATACCAGCAATGAGTGAGAATTTCAAACTACAGAGAAAAGGTTACGTGACACTAGTAATAAATGTGCTGTGGGAGTTTATGTCCTAAGTCTCAAGTCAGTAACGTATATGTCTGATATAGTTGACGTAATTTTTCTCAGACCACTTTCTCGAGAGGAATCGATTAGCAGTCTCAAAATTTTACAGAAAAGTGTCTTGTACGAGAAAACCATGTATTTTCGTTTTGGATATTGTCTAACTCGTTGTAACGCATTAATATCTATCGTGTTACGCCGAATTCCATTTTCTTATATCATTGCAATGAGATAGAAAAGAACAATGCATTGTAATCTACCAGATATTAACTCGTTACAATACGATATGCATTATCTAATGAGTTATAATGCTATAAACGATGTTTCCAAATTTATGGCATTATAATTAGATCAAACATCTAAGGTATTATAACGCATTAATTTCTAACGCATTATATTGAAATGCTAGTTGCAGTGGTTAAATTGTTAAAAAATGTGTTTTGAGAATGGTACATCCATTTCAAAATTAAATGCCTATGAATATTTTTGAATAACTTTTGATAAACAAACAATGAAGGTCTGTGGTTTATCGGTGACGTTTAAAAAGTCATATCGAAAATAGAAAATTGAAATAGAAACATATTAATCTTTTTATATAGATAAATATCTTAGTGTATCCTCTGCACAGTGGGAGTCAAGCGAGACCTTCATCTATGGGGTTTTAGGCATGGCAACAAGTTCCCTAGCAGTTACCAGTTTTATATTTTTAGTCTCAAGATAACTGCAAAAATGCATGGAAGATTGGTTATCGATTACGCTGAAATCCATGAAAATGTTTGTGTAATATTTCAGAATATACAAATAGTGATTAAACGGCAGAGATATGGAAAGACATTTATAATTTCATCCACAAGCATAATTCAACACATCAAAAATGATATCCTATATAGATAAGAAGCAAAAACAATTTTTCCATTGTCAAAATGCCTGTTATGTGCGAAAAATACATTTGATGTGTTTTTGTATTTCACTTTTATCCTCTATCATACGCTACATATAAGACCCAAAAGTACAACATTTACTGGAAAAAAAAAGAATTTAAATTAGAGAATGAGTAGGAAGAAAAGCCTAATCTCATATTACACAGGTTGTCTACTATTACAAAAATTTAAATTTGTAGTAATATCTGGTAGACTAAAAAGAGAAATCAACGGGATCAATAATGGAACAGTATAGGGCGTATACCAGAAATAAGTTACTAATAATGATTGTAAATATATAGGATCACTAAGATATCGTATTAAATAAATAAAGAATAATGGCATATAAGTCAACAAATATAAGAGTGATATAGGTAGTAAATGAAATATCATTTTACGTATATGACGCCATGTATTTGATCGTTTCATTTTATGTTTTTGATAGAAAATCCGAACAATGAGAAGAAAATTAAATAAAAATATAATTAATATTGGTAATATGGAAGTAAGAATTGTATCAATTGTAACTAATACAGGATATAGATCTGTTGATGGACTATCAATACACTATGAGTAAGTAGAATCAAATTATTGTTCAAGTCGATAAATAATAATTAGGATAAAATAAAAAATTGGAAATAGAATAATTGGACAAGCAATGGGTATGCAATGATATAACAAACGACCCCGATAAGTTGTCATTGTTTCTGGATAAAATATAACTAAATAACGTTCAATAGATCCAATGGCTATCAGCCATGAACTCAGTGGAAATAACGTAAAATTAATATAAACCCAAAATAAACATAAACCATAGTCACCTGCTACAAGTAAACCACGATACAAATAAGAGAGAGTAATTGGTAATTCAATTATAAAAAATAAGAAAATTCGATATTAATATACAAATAGTAATGTGATTTGATAAACGTCTACGTAATTCATGTAAACGTATAAGAAAAATAAAACAGTAAACAACTACATAAAAATGATAATATTTGAATGGAATAATTAGATAAAATTTAAATCACCGACTTTCTGTTTCAAAAGTTATATTAGGAAACATAGTTTCTTTGTAAAAAAAACTTACTTAACATATGATTAAAGAAATCTCTTTTCATGTAATGAAAGGGAAATGGAAAATATTCTCCTTCTGAATAATTTTTACCATTGTTATTTATTCATAAGCATGTGTTATATTATTTAATAATATTTATTTTTCTAATATTTATTTTCTATTTAATCTGAAGAAAATTCCGGTTTTGATTTGATAGTTTCATGTTAATTGCAGTTAATTTTACAATTTTATTCTACAAAACTTGATATTTCGACCATTTATGGTCATTGTCAAAAGTGAAAATGTACACAGAAAAAACTTTGATTTTTACATGTTAGAATTCTCACACATTCAAGAACAGGTAAACTTCCCCCTGCGATGAAAAAGTTAACTGATGATGAGCTTGATGAGTTACTCGCCACCCGAATATTGATAAAAGATATAAAAGATACAAGTATTTGTGTGATGAACTTGGTCTTCCATGTGAACTTGTGAATGGCCATACGAAAGAATATGGTTTTGATGATCGCGAAGATGGACCAGCCAGTTAATCATGTATGGAATGCTGCCAAGATCGATCAACATTGGTATTTGATTGACTCAGCATGGGGCGCAGGTCATCTGAGCAACGAGCAAGTTTCAAACGTCAATTAAATAGCTATTATTTTCTTACGCCTCCGAATGAGATGATCTATCATCATTTACCCGAAGATGACAAGTGGCAATTATTATGGCAGCCTATTAGCACGCCACAATATATGCAGTTGCCCAGACTTCAGCCAAGCTACTTCGAATTGAATCTTGAATTGATCAATCCTCATCATCAAGCTCATGTCGCACTACTTCCAGACAAACCTATGCAGTGGTTCTCATTCGAGCACCATTCGATGTGCAGCTCTTAGCCGATTTGAAATTAAATGACATTAAGATTGAAGGTGGACATCAGATCAGGTTCGATACTAGCAAACAATTCTACCGTTGCTATTTTGCTCCAGCCAGTGTCGGGAAACACAAGATTATAATCTACGGAAAACGAAGTGATGCAAACTCGTCTTCATATGCCGCAGCGCTCGATTTAACACTAAATATCGAGCACATACCACCAAACCTTATGAGTTTTTCTACAACGTGGAAACATTTCTTTAATTTGGGCTTACAAATTATTTCGCCGTGGAATACGCATTTGGTGAAAATCAACAATGGAGTTACGCACACACAAATCCTTATTCGAGCACCAGCCGACGTTGTTATAAGTAGCCGACTCGAAAATATCAATAACATAGAGATTCTTGGTGGAAACCAAGTTTTCTATGATCGACAAAAATATTTTTGGCGCTGCAAATTTGCACCTGACCAAGATGGTATATTCGTAGCCACTCTTTTTGCGAAGAAAAGGTCAGATACTGATAGCTACGCGGCTGCTGTGTCTTTCAAAATTGAAGCACAACAAATTCCAATACCGCCATTATCGTATCCACATGCATGGCAACTCTTTTATGATCTTGATCTTAAGATTAAGACACGGTTCAATCGTGCTACGATCGTGTTACCTCATAATACTTTTCAGATCGAAGTTCGCGTGCAGACACCCGACTACGTCAATTTACTCGGTAGCTTCAAAAACAGCAATAACGAAGCGATTTCAGGTGGAGATCAAGTTTTTTATGATCGACACAAATGTTTCTGGCGCTGCAAATTTGCACCCAACCAGGATGGCATGTTCGAAGCTGTCATTATGGCCAAAAACAAGTCGAGTTCGGATGACTTCTCTGCTGCAATGTCATTCCAAATCGAAGCGCTAAAAATCGCAAAACCACCTTTATCTTTTTCAGATATATGACAGCTCTTTCATGATCTTGATCTCAAAATAGAAGCGCCACTTCGTCGAACCACCATCGCATGGCTTGAAAATGCACCTTATGTCGAAATCCTTTTGCGGGCACCCGATGGCGTTCAACTCTCTTCTAATATTCAATATGATAACATTGGAGTTCATAATGGTGCTTTAGTACAGTTCAACAGCGATAAACAACTTTGACAATCACTGTTCGCACCTCAGCGCACAGGTCCACACAATTTAATAGTTTTTGCTAAACGAGACGGAGGTTATGAATCATTGAACGGTGCTGTTGCTCAATTCTATCTCAACGTCACTCAACTTCGACGACAAATGACGTTTCCTATCACATATTCTCAGTTTCGTGCCACGAAATGTCGAATTTATGAGTCAATGAATGGAGTACTGAAGAAAGGCTCTGTCATAACAATTCATTATCTAATTCCTGGTGCCAAGAATGTCTATGTGATAGTTGATTCCCAATGGCTCAATCCCGAAGGCTATAATGATCCAATTCTGAAGAGACAAGTGACTGTCGGTTCAAAGGATGTTAGTATTTATGTTCAATATGAACAGAACAAAAGTTATCATGGACATGTCAAATATTCTGTTCAATAACTACGTTCTATTCTGTTTAATTAGTTTCGTTTTTGTTTTTTCTTTTAATGTTTAGGGAATTTTGACATTAATGATTTACTATCAACATACGCGTAACCGTATTTGAAGGTGTTTTTACGCTCCCCAAAACTGAAATGCGTTTCGCATAGTCTCAAACACAAAAACCCTCCAAAAGACTGCTTTCTGGTAATTTGAACTACGCTTCAGCGTGTTGTACAATTCATAAAATTAGTTCGTTTTTCCGTGAAAAATCTCTCACTAAAAAGTCAAATGAATTTTTCACCATATAAGCAAGGAAACAAGTACATTGAATTCTTCATGCTGAACAGGAATATAGAGTCATAATAGCTCAATTTTCTTTTCATGAAGTAAGGTTTTAATGGGTTTTCTAGAATACTGAGGGTGAATATTGGAAAGTGTCGAGGATGGTTGTATGGGCAAAGTTATAGATCCTACTAAGTGGTTCCTATCCTGAAAAAATCTCGAAAATTTTTGGAGCGTTTAGGAGAAAATCGAGGTCAAACTTCAGGAATTTTTCAAGTAAATTGAGTACCTACCTCTCGTGGATTATAGGACAAACAGACATGATCTAGAATAGCTTGTCTGTGCAGATCTCTGATGAAATGCTTTAATTATTTAATAGCTACATCTGTTTTACTTGATAATGTTTTTTTACGTACTGATTTTTAGTTTATGTCGGCCTGTTTCTTTTTAAATTTTTTTCATAATTAAAAATCCTTAAATCGAGGCATCAGAATAAGTCAATGTTTAGGTAGAAAACCTTAATCGAATATTGACGTTTCTCTCTATATATATATATTTTCGAGGCGCTAGTTAAAATAAATGCATTTTCTGTGTTGTGTGATTTAATGTATTGAACTGCGTACACCGACGCCCTCAAATTGTTCATAGCTTGGTTTTTATTTGAGATTATTTTATCCAATAATCCAGAGTCAACAAAAAAAGAGTGATTTCAGCCGTTTTGGTCACGTTGTTTCCTTTTAGCTGCAAATAGTAACTGAAACTCCAAGGAGCCAAGATCAATGCGAATTAATGTAGATGGTCTCTCCACAGACCATCTACATCTTGTTATTTTTATCTTCAATTGTTTCTAATTTCTGGAATGCTGGTGTGAAGTGTGTCGGTGTGTCTTTTGATTTTTCTAAAGCGTTTGACTCTGTCTCTCATTCTCTTTTGTTGGAAAAATTGTCGCGTTGTGGTCTGAGTGAT